AATCTGCAACTGGAAGAAAATACAGTAAGGGTAGCTAGAATTCTTTAGCCCACATCAAGCACAGGACAAGAGACTTGGGGACTGCATGGGGCTCTTCTTAGTCAATGAGATGAGGTCTGACCCTAAGTCAGCCCTGTAGCTGAACTTGTCTCTTGACCTCAGTCACGTCTTCAACCTCCAGAGTCTTTACCCTCTCACCACTGAGTCCTGTGGAAGTTCTAGTGGAAAAGTGAGCTAACTGAACAGTGGAATGGAGCATAATGGTTGCACGGTAGCAGCATTGCTCTGCCAAGTTGTAAGCAAATCTGAGATGACTTGGACAGAGAGGCAGAGATGTTCAAAAGAAAACCCATCTGTAGGATTCCGTCCAATCCTCTTCAACAAGTCTCTGAGGACATGGCAACTCTAGTCCTGCATCAGGCACTTTGTAAGGTCACATAATCTGACCTTTTATGCCCCTCTTTGCCTCTTCCTCAGGCACACTTTTGAAGTTAAAGTCTGTGAGGTCCAGCCTCACAGCTTCTTGCTGACCCAGAGGCCAGCAAAAATTGAGGATGAATCACCTCAGAAACCTAAGATTGTTGATGGCCTTCTCAGCACTTTGACAGGTGTTTGTGCTTCCCCACAGCAGAGGATATGGGGATGAGGCAGATTGTAGAATTAGGGAGAAGATCCTCTTTCTTTGCTTACCAGTTGAAAAGCTTTGGTGAACAAGGTAGCTAAGTTGGTAAAGAACTTGTAACATGGCTACATTCCTACTACCCCAATCCCACATTACAAAGAAAACCTGGGCATGGTGATACACGCTTGTAAGTTCTGGGAAGGTAGAGATAAGTTATTCCAGTCCAACGAAAGACTGTCTCTCAAACCCAAGATGGATGGCCCCTGAGGAGCAGCATCTGAGATTGTCCTCCAGCTCCTGTTGTGTGACGTGATTCCTGGGCAGACATGAACAAACATTTACTCACCCTAGAGCCCACAACAGACCAAACTAATGATGCCACTGAAGCCCAACCTGGTGAACCAGTGAGTTTTATTGGGGTTACTTACAGGAGTAGAAATAATTCTAAGACAGCTGCTTTGCCAAAGCCAATCCCAGCAAGGGTGACAGCTCACAAAAGCTAGAAACCTGGAGCACACTGCACAGCACGCAGGCAGCTTGACAAATGGGAGTGTCTCTTTTGGGCAGCTCAATTAGTCTGAGCCTCTTTCCTTCCTTATTTCTCTCCTTCTTTCTTTCTTATTTTAGATTTTATTTCTTTTTATTTTATGTGTATTAGTGTTTCCACGAAAGCTTGTCTGTACACCCTGCACACAGAGTGCTCCTAGAAGGCAGAAGAAGGTGTCACGTCACCTGAGACAAGAATCGCAGATAGTTGTAGTGCTGGGGATTGAACCCAGGACCTTTTGAAAAGCAGCCTGTGCTCTTAACCACCGAACCATCTCTCCAAAGCCAAAGCCCCACCCCAAGACCTGGAGTTTTCTGGGCAGCCTGGCTGCTTTCTGCCTCTTCTGACTGGTTCCGTTGGTGTGACCCTGCTCTGGGCATCTCAGAGTGCTGAAAGTCTCTCTCAGTTGTTCTCACTGCTCATGAAACTTATGGGATCTAGTGACTCTGATGTGTTTCAAGGACCTCATGAGGCTATTGTGTTGTTTGCCTTCTGTTTTAGCAACATTCCCTGCTTGATGGAGGATGGAATGTTTCACCTCCTTTTATAATGCCCTGCATCTTAATGAGCTTCCCTCTAAAATGAAATGGTTTACTTTGGCAGAAATGATTAAACAATGCCTTTACCACACATTTGCATTCATGTACATACGTACCTGTTAGGAATAATTCTTAAGACGAGCCTCTCTGCCGACGCAAATAGACCAAATAAAAGATGCCTGCATTTAATAAATGCAGTGCTTCCAGGTGACTGGGAGCATGGGGGGGGTGTGAACAGAAGGAGAGACCATCCAAAACTCGAGACCACGTGTTCCTTTTCTGGGCGGCAGCCTAAATAGCCTGTGAGAGTGGTCCTGACCCTCCCTGGGGAGGGATCAGCGCTTGGCAGGCTTTCCTGGAGGTGGAGTCCAGATCAAGAACTCCAGGGGGCGGGGTTGAGATGGAGCTTTCCGCTCCATCCCTGCTCAAGGGTGGGTGCCAGGGCCTGGGGTGACACTTTCAATCAATCATCCCAGACTCCTTAGATAAAGGTGTGTTAGAGGGCTGGGGTCTCACTTTCAATCAAACAGTACCCACACATACATGAACACACACATGCCAAGCTTTGGGAAAGTCTCAGCATTCCCCAGTTTCCATGTCCCCGCGCCCACCCCGCAGAATGGTTGCTGCCATCAGAGCTGCCCCATTACTGGGCATCCTTACCCAACCAAATAAGGCATTATTGTAACAACACCATTTCCAGGGGTTTTCCATGCCCTGCCAGGAGATAGCTAATGCCTGTGTCCCTTCTGGCTCAGGCCTATGCTAGAGGCAGCAAATGAGAAATGAACACCATAGATACAGCAACTGCCTCTCCCTGCTAACATATCAGAAAAGAAGCACAGTAGCATTCAAGTCAGAAGAACAGGAAGGGCATCTCCATGAGTGGGAAGATTGGGGACCTGACTTCTCCTGCCATCTGAGTACTTCCATGGCACTTGAGAGCAGCCAGAGCCGGGATAGGTTTGGAATGTGGTTGATCTGGGCTAATTCCCAGCTATACTGTTCATTAACTAAGTTCATTAACTTTTTTGAGCCCCAGATAAAAATCAAGAGGCAGGTCTGTAATCCCAGCAGGTGAGAAGCTGGGACCATTTTGAGCTATATAATGAGATACTGATTAAAAGGTTTAGATCAAGTCTTACTGTTCTATTGCTATGAAGAGACACCATGACCACAGTAACTCTTATAAGAGAAAACATTTAATTGCGGGCTTGCTTACATGTTCAGGGGCTTACTTCATTCATGATTATTATGGCAGGGAACATGGCAGCAGGCAGGCATGGTGCTGGAGAAGTAGCTGAGAACTACATCCTGATCCACAGGTGGAGAGAAAGTCTGGTCTAGCGTGGACTTTTGGAACCTCAAAGCCCACACTCAGTGACACGCTTCCTCCAACAATACTGCGGTTACTCACACAGAGTCATACCTCCTAATCCTTTAATCTTATCAAAGATTTCCACTCCCTGATGACTAAGCATTCAAATATATGAGCCTATGGGGGCCATTCTTACCACCACAAGTAAACAACCTGTGTGTAGCTGAGCCCTTCCCAAGACTTATGGTGATGGCTAGTTTGAGTGGATATGGGGACTGGTTAAAATTCTGGACTAGGTGGGCATGGTGGCAACATGCTTGTAATCGAGATCTTGAAGGTAGAGACAGGGGGATCCTGAGGACTCACTGCCCAGACAACCTAGTCTACTTGCTGAGTTCCAAGTCCCAGTGAAAGACCTTGTGCCAAAAACCAAAGTGGGTACCGAAGAAATGGCTAATTGGGTAAAGTGTTTGCTATATAAATATGACAACTGGAATTCGGGTACAAGCACCCATGTCTATACCATGAGTGTAAGGCTGCCTACCTGTGGAGACAGGGATCCCCAGGGAAAACTGACTAACTACACTATCTGCCTCAGTGAACTCTGGGTTCAGGGAGAGACCCTGTCTCAATACATAAAGCAGAGATGACCAAGGAAAACATCCAGTGTCAACATCTGGTCTTTACATACATGTGGGCACATGTGTGCACTCCTCATCACACAATAAACCACACATACACTAAAGGGAGGAAGGAAAGAAGGAAGAAAGGAAGGGAGGGAGGGAGAAAAGGAGGGAGGAAGGAAAAAAGGAAGGAAACAAAAGAAAGGAGAGAGACAGAAATGTGATAAATGGCATCTTAAGAGTTTCTATTGCTGTGAAGAGACACCACGACCTTGGCAATTCTTTTTTTTTTTTATTCCCTCCCCCTCCCCCGATCAAGTCCCCCTCCCTCATCTGCTCGAAGAGCAATCAGGGTTCCCTGACCTGTGGGAAGCCCAAGGACTGCCCACCTCTATCCAGGTCTCGTAAGGTGAGCATCCAAACTGCCTAGGCTCCCACAAAACCAGTACGTGCAGTAGGATCAAAAACCCACTGCAATTGTTCTTGAATTCTCAGTAGTCCTCATTGTCCGCTATGTTCAGCTAGTCCGGATTTATCCCATGCTTTTTCAGTCCTAGGCCAGCTGGCCTTGGTGAGATCCCAATAGAACATCCCCATTGTCTCAATGTGTGGGTGCAATGGCAATTCTTATAAAGGAAAACATTTAATTTGGGTAGCTTACGGTTTTAGAGGTTTAGTCCATTATCATCATGGTGGGACATGGTGGTGTGCAGACAGATATGGTGCTGGAGAAAGAGCTGAGCGTTCTATATCCTGATCTACAGGCAGCAGCAGGAGTCTGTGTCCACTTGATTTGAGCATAGAAGGGGGTAGCTTGAGCATAGAAGACCTCAAAGCCCACCCCACAGTGACACACTTCCTCCAACAAGACCACACCTACTCCAGCGAGGCCACACCTCCTAATAGTGCCACTCCCTATGAACTCATGGGGGTCAGTTACATTCAAACAACCACAGACGGCTCCTGAGAAACAACTCCCGTGGTTGATCTCTGTCTTCCACATGTATGCACACACAACATGCGCATACACACACAGGAATACTCCCTCTCCCCCCACCTCAAAACTTGGACTTTTGAATGACAAGGCACTACCCTACTCCCTGAATGGAGCCCAGAACCAAGGGCCAATTGTTCTCTGGAAGGGATGTAGAATGAAAAGAACAAGAATCACCTCCTTGCCCATGGGCTGGGAATGTGACCCACACATCCAGCTATTCAGAGCTGTTCCTGAGTCAAGCTCCAGTCAAGACACTCATGGACAGGATGGCCGGTCAAACCCTCACCGCACCTGTGCCTCATGGGTTCCACGCTGGCAGGCCCTGGGGCTGACACTCTGCTTTGTCTCCTACAGGACACAGGGAGCCGCTGACCTGGGATGTCGGTATTCCACCTGGTAAGCACAGCACTTAACCGTGGATGTCTCCCAAGGCTTGGTCGAATCACTTTCAAGGAAAGAAGAGAGTCAAAGAGACCCCAGAAGGAAAATTCCAGGGCCAGGGGTGGTGATCGAGGAGTAGGAAGAATTTTATTCTTATTGGAAGGGAGCAAGTGTGGGTAACACTTCATCTCTGCACAGTGGCCACTTGTGCACACAAATTTCTCACTTACATTAAGGGACTTAAAAGGGGGGTTACTGGGGCAGAGAGACAGCTCAGTCCGTAAAATGCTTGCCTTGCAAGTAAGCCTATTATAAAAAAAAAAAAGGAAGAAAGAAAATAAAAGAAAGGGGGTAGCCAGGTATGTTAGGTATTTCCTGTAATCCTAGTGAGGTTCAGTTGTCAGTCGCCTAGCTGAGTCAGTCAGTACCAGTGTCTTAGCTCTAAAAGCATGGTGGACAGCCCTGAGGAAAAGCCGAGTTCATCCTCTGGCCTCCACACACATGTGCGTGCCCATCCGTTGGCATGCCATCACCTTTGCACGTGCACTTTCCCACTTGGGAAAGGATTGGGGAGTTCCCACTTGTCCTCCACTGCCCTGGCACAGAGCCTGCTCAGGGATGACAGGGTAGGTCTGGGTGACCTTTGTTCCGTTCACTCAGTAAATGCCCGTGTTTCTGTGGCTAGGTAATGTCTCCATGTGTAGGAAGTGGAGTGAGATCTTGCTAATTGAATCAAGAAACCCAGAGATGGCTCAGTGGTTAAGAGCATTGCCTGCTCTTCCAAAGGTCCTGAGTTCAATTCCCAGCAACCACATGGTGGCTCACAACCATCTGTAATGAGGTCTGGTGCCCTCTTCTGGCCTTCAGGCACACACGTAGACAGAATGTTGTATACAAAATAAATAAATATTTTTTTTAAAAAAAAGAAACCCAGAGAAAATGCCCTAGCCTTAGAGTGATTCAAAAGGAAAAAAAAAGTGGGGGTGTGCTCTTCTTCTCAGGTACTGTGAGATGCCGATCAAGTAAACTGTGATAGCTGAGCCCCTCGCAGGGCATAGAAGAATGGCAGTTGTTTGGCTCAGAGGACAGTGTTGGACAATACTACCTTAACAAAAGAAAGCTTAATTCAAACTTATAGACTTAGGGCAATGCAATACATTAATATGACCAGTGCACACACTGTTAAACTTTATGGCTTTGTGGTTTCCGGGTAAACCTTCTAGAAAGCTCAAGACACTCTTTATATGGTACAGAGTGAAACCACAGCTGTGCTTCTGGTTTTGAATGAGTGTAAGGAGCTGCTAGAGAAAAGCAGTAGACACATAGCAAACATGTGTCGTATGTTATACATATGTTATATGTTATAACTGATGGTTATAGCATCTGGAAGAGTGCAGCTGAGGAAGACCTGGAGTTAGAATGTAGAAAGGGATGGCACTGTCCTGTTTTTTCTCCATAGTCTGTCCATGGACCTGGCGCTGGAGGTCAAATAAAAGCCACAGCACCCAGGGCTCAATGGGGTAGAAACAAGCAGATAGAAAACGCGGAGCAAAGGGATCTTGTGAAGGGGCAGATTTCTCTACCCTAGTCAGAGAAAACAGGCTTGGAGGTACCAGGCAGACCCAGCAGAGATGAAGGATGAGCATCTCCTGGCTCTCCAATCTCCCCACTGAGATGACTTCTCTTTGTACCTGGCTATTGCAGCTGCTCCTAACAGCAGCTTGCCCAGCATCCCACAATCTCTTCTTTAGATTCTGACTGGGTCCGTGCCTCCCCAGGTTTTTCCTAAGTTATTCTGCACATTCACGGAATTTTCTACACCTGGATGTCTCCAATCAGGTCCCATTGGTACTGGCTAGTGTTGAAGGCACACGGCTGGGAAAATTCTTAAGTCCTCTCTAGAAGCCATTAAATATGTGATGTAAAATAATGTGTCATAATTAAAACAAACGTCATCATCAACACCAAAATAACCCACCATGAAGGTCTGGTATTTCCTCTTTAGTCTAATGTGAAAATACGTTGACTTTATTGCTCTTCAATATGTCCTATGTTGGGGCCCCCATTCCCTTGATCCCAGGGAAAGTAAAGAAAACATCTGGGAAGGCGACTGGGACACGTGACTGAATGCCCTTGGCACAGAAAATTCTAGAGGTCTAGAGGGCTCATTGGTACCAAGAAGCTTGAGGGGTGCCACCATTTTAGTTCATCCCATGTGGTCCATTAACCAAGATGGCAGTAAAGTCACATGGTGGTCAGCGTCTTAATGATGCCACTAAGAAAGATAGTGGCCAAGTCATGTGGCCGTCTCTATCTTGGTGAGGTCACCAGGAAAGAAGGTGACGAAGCGACATTTTGCTTTTTGCTTATGGTGAGCTCAGCTCCATGATAAAATGAGCACATCCCCCCAATCAAAACACAAATCTTTGTGGTATCCACCACATATATCACAGAATGAGCACATCCTCCCAGCAAAGCAAAAGTCTCAGAGGGATCTACCACACATATCACAGACTGAATGCAGACAGTTACCCCTTCTCTTAAAATAAAGGCGACAATTAGATTAGCATGGGTATAGACAGCACATGTGGCCCGGGCATATACAACTATAACTATATAGGCATATTTAACATATAACAGTGAACTCTCAATAGTGTCATTTAGATCACATTTTGACCTCCCCTGAGATCCTAAGCACAAGCTGTTGTTGGGAAAAGAAGCTCATAGAAGAAGCAGAAGGAATGAAGGGGTGTGCCCCGTGAGGGGTGTGCCCCGTGAGGAGGTGTGCCCCGTGAGGGGGTGTGCCCCGTGAGGGGGTGTGCCCCGTGAGGAGGTGTGCCCCATGAGGAGGTGTGTCCCATGAGGAGGTGTGTCCCATGAGGAGGTGTGCCCCAAGTCCTAAACATGGTGCTGTTGTTCTAGGAGCACATGGAAGAGACTTGGAAAGAGAAAGTTTGGTTTTTGAGTTTTTGCTTTGTGTGTGTGTGTGTGTGTATGTGTGTGTATGTGACATTTTGTCCCACTTGATTTTAGTGTGGGTGAGAACACCTAGATCTGTGAGTACTGATGGGTAGAGGAGCTCTGGATTGGCCCCAGAACTTGAGAGTTGGTTACTGTCTGCCTTGGGGAGTCTGTTTCCTTGTACTCCTTTTTACCCAATTGCTTCCCATCCTGGCTTTGAGAGACTTAAACTATTAGAGTTTTAACCTCATACCATAGAGATTTCTCTGATAACCAATCAGACTCACACCCTCTACTAGTGGAGGTTCTTTCTTTCATGTTCTGATGGTGAACGCTTTGCCTGTCTCTGACAAAGCTGTCCTGTGTTAAGTCATTTTTTGGTTAAAAAAAAAAAGTCAACAAGGACACCCGCAAAGCTATGGGTCACAACCCCACATTTGTGTCAACAGCACATCTCATCCACTCTCATTCAACCTCCAGAACGTCCCAACCAACCAGGAAGTACTTTGCCATTTTTCTGTTTCCATACCTACTGTGGTCTTGCACACAAGAGTTACCTGGTTGCCATGGTATACTTTCTGATCTGGTATCTTTATTGATCCAAAGAGTGTTGTTTACCCTAGGTCCTGGGGGTGGCGACGCTAGAATGGGAATGGGGTATATCTCCCCCAAGTAAAGGGATCCAGCACTCTCTGCTATGAATTTGAAATCCCAGAGAGCCCCCAAACTGTTGAATAAGACATCCCAGGGTCTCCTGTCTGCTGACAGATCAGACATCTCCCAGGGTCATGAGGGATGATTTTTGTCTGTTGTCTTTCTCCTTGTTGATTATGGTGACTCTTGAGAGGATGCAAGTAGAAAAGCTGACGCCACTCTCGTGCCATTTTCAAGATTATTCATGTTTACTGTTCCGTTCACAATGGTGCGCATGTGTATGTTTATGTGCTGAGGGGACACATGTATGGGCTTGAGGGAATGCGTAAGCGTGGACATGGAGGTCGGAGCACTCGCTTGGGCACCATTCCTCACATGCCATCCGTCTTCTTTGTTTTGAATTGGTTTTTAATGCACTTATTTTGTTTACTTGTATATTTGGAGTGTGTGTGTGTGTGTGTGAGTGAGTGTGTGTGTGTGTGTGTGTGTGAGCTTACATATGCTTGCACACACATGGTGCACATAGAGGCCAAAGGACAACTTTGGTTTCCTTCTTTGACCTGTAAGTCCTGGGGATGAAACTCAGGTCATCAGGCTTGGCAGAAAGCACCTTTACCTTGGGTTTTGAGATGGGCTCTCTCACTGGCCTAAGACTCAGTCATTCAGCTGGCTGACCAGTGAACACTAGAGATCCTCCTGTCTCTGCTTCCCTGGCACTGGAATTACAAGCACACACCAGCATGCCCAGCTTTTTTAAACAGGTGGATGCCAGGGATTGAACTCATCTCCCCAGCACCCCATTTTCCAGTCTGGGACAGTCTCTCTTTAACCCCCCACCTCACTGCCTTCCGTGATTATTTGGATGCTATTTGTTTCCTCTGATTTTTTCCCTCTTAGTAAGAGGTTCTGTGGGCAAAGCTGAGCCCAGGCCCTGCTGAGTTCATTGGTCTAGACAGCATAGACACAGGCAAGCTTGATAAGCGATGAAGGGCCTTCTGAGAACGGACGAGGGAGAAGGCAAAGAGATGGAGAGAACCCTTGCCACCAGGGAGCTTGGGGTTGCAGGTGACAGCCCCAAGACATGTAAGTCTCTAGTGGGAAAGGGAAGGGAGCTATGACTCAGACCAATGTCCCTTCTCTGCTCTCTAGGGTGATCATGTGTGGCTGGACCCTCCCTCCACCAGCAAGACCGGCGTGGCCATCGGAGGCATTGTTAAAGAGACAAAACTGGGAAAGGTCTTGATTGAGGATGATGAGGGCAAGGTTGGTATCGGGGCGTCTCTCCACATCCCTCCCCACGGGACTCAGGCACTTGCTTGACAAAACCATCAAGGAAATCCATTTATCCCTGAGGCAGCATAGACCACAATGGAGTCTTGTACAGGGGGAAGGACATATTTGTCTTGAAAATGTTTTGAGAGTAACAGTTGAGAACTGTCAGGGGAGCAGGAAGGAGTGAGAAGATGGGCTGAAGCAGGGAGGAAGGAGGTCCAAAGACTGGCGTGCAGAGCAAAAGAGGCAGGAGTGACATCTTGGTGAGAAAGGTGTGCGGGGGACGAAGGGACACAGATGTCCAGGTTAGAAGTGGACAGTTCAGAGCAGTCAAGCTCATCCATCAGAGCAAGACAGGAACAGCCAAGGGCAGTGAAGGGACAAACATGAGTCACTGAACTCCTCCTTGGACTGACATCCCTGTCCCCCAGGGGCTATCGGGAGAGACACATGTAGACAATGGCCTACAAAGGAAGGTTCTGACTACCTAGAAGTTCCAAAGACTGGAAGGAAGTAAAAACAAACAAACAATAACAACAACAACAACAAAAAACCCAGTTTCCTTCAGTAGTGCTGTTGAATGTTAAAGCTACTATTACTTGCACTGTTCTACTCCAAGAACTCTCAAGGCTTCCAACGGCATTTTGATGTTAAAGCAAACTCCCTATTGCTAGTTCCTACAAACCTATAGGAAGCTTGTTTCCAGGCCCAGCTCCACAAGGATCCCAGTCCCTAGACAGGTGCTGACCAAAGCCACAGATGGATCTGACTTTGCCATAGGTATCCCTTGACTCAAACCAAGATCAAGCCTGGTTAGAAACCTGAGATTATGGAGGATGCGGGGTTTAGAGGGCTCACCTTTGCGGAGAGTTTGTGCCTGTCATTACAGGAACACTGGATCTCTGCAGCGGACCTCAACACCCTCAGCCCCATGCACCCCAACTCAGCCCAAGGAGTGGATGACATGATCCGCCTAGGTGACCTGAACGAGGCAGGTGTGGTACACAACCTCCTGGTCCGCTACCAGCAGCACAAGATCTACGTGAGTTCACTGGTGCGGTGTCCTCGGGGAAGCTGGGGGAGGGGGTCGGAGCTTGGCACGGCTCCCCTTCCTTACTCAGTGAGATGGTTGGATGCGTGGGCTTCTTCAGTCTCTGCTACCAACCCAAAGAAGCAGAAGCAAGGCTAGAGAGCTACCTCAGTTGGTGCTCACCTAGAATGCACGAAGCCCTGGGTTCGATTCCCAACACACAAACTAGGTATAATTGTGTACACCTGTAATCTCTGTGCTAGGAGGTGTTGGCAGGAGGGTTAGAAATTCAAGGTCATCTTCAGCTACCTGAGTTTGAGACTCATGTAGACTGGGATACAGGAGACTTAAAAAAAAAAAACAGTAAAACTGGGAACACCATACCCTGGGGGCTGGGAGGCTAGTGCAGAGAGATAGATCAGTGCCAGGCACACAGTAGATGTCCAATAAGTGCTGCCCTTCCATAAGTTCCCACTGAGTCTGTTCTTCTCTTTCTGTGCCGAGCAGCCCTGATCAGACAGGCCGGGTGGACACTGGAGGGTGGCGGGGTGGGCATAGCCTTTAGTCCCTGTCAGACATGTTGCAGAGACAGTGTCATCAACAGAAGACCCTTACCCACTTGGAATAGAATCTTGTGACAGTCCAAATCCAGGATCCCTTCCACAGGGTGAGGGGAACGTATGGACAGATGAGGGTCCTCTTTTCAAACAAGGCAGTGGATGGAGGCTGGACCCAACGCTCATCTCACTTCTCCAGAAGTCCGAGATGGAGTTTAGGCTTGGCATCAGTGTCTCTTGGGGTGCACAGGGTTCTGTTCAAGTGGATGTGATCCGGAGAGTCACTGCCTGTGCGGCCTGAGCAGGCAGTCTGGCTAGCCTGGGAGTAAACTGGGGAACACAAGCAAAGGGAGGCTTAGAGGAGGGGGCAAACTTCAAGGAGGGTTGCTGGGTCAGTGTGCTTCTTCTCTGGCCCCCAGCATGTCAAAGCTGCTAGGACTGTACGTTTGGGACTCCTCCTCCTCCATATTCCTTCAGGAGTCCTTCACAGGTCCTCAGAAGAATAATCCAGAGGCCTACTGTGGGGCTCTCTGGTCTCCCTTCCACAGAGGCAGCTGTGCTAAGCGGAGGCAGGGTATTCAAGAGCAGGCTGTATCCTGGGCTGAAAATACATAGAACATGTGATTGGGGTCAGTCGGGGTAGCAGATGTCACTCAGTCATCACGGAGATCTCTAAAAGAAACAGCTAAAAACTCATCTATACACTCAACCCATTTTGATTGAGCCTTTTCTAAAACTAGATAGCGTGCTACACATCTATAGTTACTGGCAGCAAGCCCCCAGAAGCTCACAGTCCTAGTGGCTACCCCATGTTCCCAGAGGAAGGAGCCAGAAGTTCCTAGGATCGGCAAGGGCTAACCACCTACTTCCTCCCCCAGACCTACACAGGCTCCATCCTGGTAGCTGTGAACCCATTCCAGATGCTGCCCCTGTACACCCTGGAGCAGGTACAACTCTACTACAGCCACCACATCGGCGAGCTGCCGCCCCACATCTTTGCCATTGCCAACAGCTGCTACTTCAACATGAAGAAGAACAAGAGGGATCAGTGCTGCATCATCAGGTGAGCTCAGGCCCCATCCCTGCTGCCTCCAGGGCCTGGTGGGCCTCGGAAAGAAAGGCACACCCCTCTCCCTGAGGTTCTCCCAGGGCCTCTCTTAACCATAGTTCTTAGCAGAGACGTTTGCCCCGAAATGCTCCTGCTGCCCTGCTCCCAATGACATGTCTCCCACACCTAAGGACATGTTCCTCTCCATCCTAAGGACATGTTTTCTACACCCTAAGGGTGTTTCTTGAAGACAAGTCTTCCATACTCTGAGGTCTCTGGGGGCTAGCAGGGACAGGTGCCCATCTAGCCCCAAGCCTAGCTCTGCTTCCCTGCCTGTCCCAGCTTGACCTCTTGTGCACAGACCCTCCTGCTGAGGAAAAAGACTGTGGACGGAAACAGAGTCGGAGTAAGAATTTGATCCCAGAGTCCTTAACTTGGTATTGTACTCATCACTCACTTATTCATGAGTTTTGTTATCCATTCATTCAAAATCTTTTTGCGCCCCAGGCTAGAGACATAGCTAAGTTGCTAGCATGTTTGCCTAGCGTGCTAAAGCAAAGAGTCTTGTCCACACCACCGCATGGACCAGGTGTAGTTGTGCACCCCGTAATCTGCAGCATTCAGAAGGTGGGGACAGGAGGATCAGAAATTCAAGTTCATCCTTGGATATATATCAAGACTTAGGCCAGCCTGGGTTACATTTTCATGTAACCCTGTCTCGGAAAGAAAAGTAAATAATAAACAAAAAGATTGTATTGGCCCTCCCTGTCCTAATACAGGAAACAAGAGCAGGTAAAAGAGATGCCAGCTTCTGCTTGAGGGCTCATAGTCACACAACAGTGGCTTGACAGCAAGTGGTAAGAGCGTTGAAGGAGAGTGTGACGGAGAGGCTGCCTCTCTGAGTAAGGACATAGGACTGCATCCTAGCATAGATGCATTTCATGCTTCCAAGTCACCCAAGCCCTAACTGGGGAGGTCGATGTTCTTCCCTGGTGATGTTACAGGCATGGATCTAAGCCCCAAGAACACCTGCTGAAGTTTCTCAGCTCTTGGGTCCCAGGCTACATGCTTAGAAATAGATATCATTTTAAAGAAAGGAAATACGCTCCCGAGAGTGGGAGTGGGCTACTGAGCTGGAGGAAATCATCTTCTCTGAAAGAGCCCAGCCACCAGCCACAGAGCCCTTTGTAGGTCGTTTACATAGCCCCGCCCCTCTCCCTGTAGTAACGTGAGCTTTTCTCACGTGTGCTCTGCTGTGCACACACATGTGCTCTGCTGTGCACACATGTGCTCTGCTGTGCACACACATATGTGCTTTGCTGTGCACAGCATAGGTAGGAAGGGCTTCCAGGCCTTCTCTGTCAACTGGCTTCTGTCATATGTTAAGCTTGGTGAGCTTCCTCCAGTCCCTGTTTTCTGCTACAGGTCCATAGATAGAAAATTCAAATTCAGGGCTCCAGAGAAGATAGGGAGGCATTCTGGAACCTAACCGTCTTTATCTATTCCTCCCTGCCTTGCTGCAACAGAGTCAGGCAGAAGGGCAAGCTCCCTGGAGCCTGGCTCCTCTTGGTGATCTTCTGTGCATCTTGAGTTAGCCTGGGTTCTCCTTTGGCCCTGGCCTCTTAGCCTTCCCTTGGCTGCTGTCACAGAAAACCAGGCTTGGAGAGTGGGTGGCTCAGGAGGGTGGGGACCCTAAGTGGCATCAGCCCATCTTTTACCTAATCACTTTTTTTTTGTATTTGTTTCTCAGAGACAGGGTCTTAAGTAGCTCAGGCTAACCTCAAATTTTCTGTGTAGCTGAGGAAGGCTTTGAATTTCTGATCCTCTCACCCCTGGCTCCTTAAGTGCCAGGACTGTAAGCACAACATTTTGTTTAAGAAACACTGGATATTGGCATCAAAGCTGGCTCTCCAGGACAGTGAGCAAGTCCCACGAGTCCTGCCATAAGAGCCAGCGCCAGCCGCAACAAGACACCTAACAAAGCAAGGAAGGACAAAAGCACTCACAGTTTCGTCATGGTGGAGAAGGTACCAAGGCAAGGGAGTAAGGCAGCTGGTCAGGTGGCATCTCAGTCAGGGAGCTCAGCTTGATTGTTCCTTTTTATTCAGCCCAGGACCCCAGTCCGTGGGAAGATGCCAACCATGTGTAGGGTAGGTTTTCGCACTTCAAGCAACCATTCCAGATAACTGCTCCCTGACATGCCCAGAGGCTTGTCTCTGTGGCGATTCTAGGGCCTCTCAAGTTGGCAACCAATACCAACCATCACACAGAGCTCCTTGCTGATGGAACTTAGGATTCTGGATGTCTGTCCAGATGATAGATGCCACTGCCCGGGAGCCGCACTGTCATCCGAAAGACACGGACTCACGTTACTTGTTCTGCAAGGTAGCCCTGGAATAACCCAGGTCACAGTGTGCCAAGAGTCTTCCAGCCTGGCAGGGAAGAAAAGACAATGCACTGGCTTCTCCCAGGGGTGTTCCACTTGGGGACATTGTCTTCTACAACCGTATTGAGCGACATTATAGTCATCCTGGAGTGCAGGTGGCCCATAGCCACAGGTCGGGCATGCCTGCATCAGATAGTCTGAGATGCCCAGGGCACTTCAGGGCAAATGCAGTGTTGGATTTCTTCATGGGCAAATGTGTCCCTGTCAGCATAGGCCAGATATGGGCCTGAGGGATGGAGGCAAAAATTTCTAGAGGGTGAAGAGGCACTAGGTGGTGGTAAGTCTCTGTGTGAGGCTAAATTTCCCTGCATTCTCTGGCAGTGGCGAGTCTGGGGCTGGGAAGACTGAGACGACCAAGCTCATCCTTCAGTTCCTGGCTACAGTCAGCGGCCAGCATTCGTGGATTGAGCAGCAGGTCCTGGAGGCCAACCCCATCCTGGAAGGTGAGTTTTGATCCTGAGGACTTGGACAGGAACGGCCCTCCCCACATGTAATAGCCACAGTGGCCTTCAAGCCAGGGTGGGTGACAGTGGTGTGCGGTCCCCAGGCAGCACAAAGGGGACAGGTGGTTGTGGCTACTCTAAACTTCCATGATGAGCATTTGCCACCAGATGTACAGAGATTTCAGTCAGATGTAGTAGCATGTATCTATAACCCTTGCTCTGGGGAGACCAAGACGTGAGGACCTTGAATTTAAGGCTTGGGCTACATAACAAAACCCTATCTCAGTAAAAACCAAAAGGAGAGGCTGTGGAGAGAAGACTTAGCTAGGAAAATGCTTGCCATATAAGCATGAGATCCTAAATCCAATCCTCAGTGCCACATCAAAACCAGACACAGTGGCACTTGTAATCCCAGCATAGGAGAAGCAGAAACAGGCAGATCCCTGGGGCTCAAATGCTGGCCAGGCCAGCCTAACGGGTGAGCCTAGATCCCAGATCCCAGAGAGGGACCCTTTCTCAAAACACAAGGTGGATGAAGAATGACACCTGAGGTTGATCTCTGGCCATACTGCACACACACACAGAGCCCTCAAAGGGAAAAATAGTATTCCTTTATAGATATGTGTGTGTGTGCGTGCGTGTGTATGTGCAGTATAATGCATATTTATTTTTTAAATTTTAACATTTTTTTCATTTATTTTACATACCAACCAGTTTCCCCTCCTTTCTCTCCTCCCATTTTCTGCCCTTTCCCATTTATCCCCCTACCCATCTGCACTTTCTCCATCTCCATTCAGAAAGGGGCAGGCCTCCCGTGGGCTTCTACAAAGCACGGGACATCGAGTTGAGGTGGTACCGAGCTCCTCCCCTTACGCTGAGGCGGTATAGTTTTCCTTTTTAAATGGGGTCCCAAGACCAAGCCACTTTGAGAAACGTCTGTGTGTTTCTGGGTCCCTGAGAAGGTGCTTCTGGGTTACTTACCATTAAGGCTGCAACAGGGAACCCTAGAGAAGACAAAGAGGAAGAAGCAGGAGTAGGCAGAGCAAGGATTCAGGCTCAGCTGCTGACTGGATAGTTTGGGAAGAGAAGAGAGGAATCAGGATTGGACAATGAGGAGGTCAAGCTGGATACCTTGGTTGCATCGGGGCTAATGCCCCACAGTCACCATTTTTTCACAGCGAGAGGCCCTGAAGTCGCATTTTATAGGGAGCTCAAAAGACCAACCTAAAGACAGGCTCTGGATCAAACTTCCCCTTAGAAGAGCTGTGTTAGGTCCCAGTGCCCCACCCATGGGTGTAGTCCCTGGTAAAGGTGGCCCACACACCTGTTACATTGGCCCCAGGTCTGGTCACTGCTGGGCACAATTTATCTCTTTCTGTTCCCCCATTTTCTCCCCCACTTTTACTTTTTTAATCATCTGGAGGAATGAACATGCATGTGGAGGTGCCAGTGCCCCACCTTTGGGTGTAGTGCCTGATAAAGGTGGCCCAGATATTTGTTACCTTGGCCCCAGATTTGGTAGTTGCTGGACATAGTTTATCTCTTTCTGTTTAAATTCATGGCCTCTTCTTCTATAATTATTCTTATATTTTATATATTTATTTTTCTTTTATGTATATGAGTGGTTTGCCTACATATATGCCTGTGCACCACATTCTTGCAGGGCCTGCAGAGACCAGAAGGGGGGTCAGGTACCCTGGAGCTGGAGTACAATGACTGTGAGCCACCATGTGGGTGCTAGAAATCAAACCCTCTGGAAGAACAGTCAGTGCTCTTAACTGTTGATCCATCTCTCCAGCCTCATCTTCTTCAGTGTGTGTGTGTGTGTGTGTGTGTGTGTGTGTGTGTGTGTGTGTGTGTGTGAATACAACATGCTAAGTCTATTTAGTGTTGCTCATATGTATATGTATTTTTGGCTGCCCACTTAAGAAACACACCTGAGGCAGGCGATGGTGGCATATGCGTTTAATCCCAGTACTCAGGGAGGCAGATGCAGGTGGGATCTCTGTGAGTTCAAGGCCAGCCTGGTCTACAGAGTGAGTTCCAGGACAGAAAAAAAACCCGTCTTGAAAAACAAAAACAAAAAAAAAAAAAAGAAAGGAAGGAAGGAAAGAAGAAAGAAAAAGAAAAGAAAAGGTAACACACCTGCTGTGTTGGCCCCAGAAGTCTCCCTGCCCCCTAGATGCACTTGCAGGAGGGGCAGCCTCAAATTTTGAGCCTAGATTTCACAGTTTCTGGGCCAGCCTTCTTACCTCTTCCCTTGGGTCTACACTCAGGCCAGATTCCTACTCTATAAGAGCCCCCTGACTTCTGACCAGCTCACTTTCCTGCACCGCCCTTTGCCTACCTGGACAGCCTCCTTCCTCAGCCTTCACCTTCAAGCTTTCCACTGTCAGATTTTAGACTATGGGCTTTGCAAGCCATGCTCACCTGAAGCAGCCTCTTTCTCAGGCTGCTGAAAAGAAGCACCAAGGCCCCTACCAGAAGTTCGGCTGTAAACTTCTAACTTCCTAACCTTCTCCCCAGGTGCCTAGATTCCAGAATGACAGACAGGTGCCATTCTCACTTTCCCAAGGGAGTTTACTGTTCAAGGTCATAGACTCCAGGGAGTTTACTGTTCAAGGTCATAGACTCCAGGGAGTTTACTGATGTGATGAGCACAACACCCCAACTGGATGTGTTCCTCTTCTCTTTCCCCACACCCCCATTCCTTCCTCAAATGCAGCCCACTCCTCAACTATGAGGCAGGAAACCTCCCCTTCCTCTGCCATGGGGGCCTGAGCTCTCCTCAAGGCTTCAGACAGCTGCTATCGGCAGTGTCAGGGTCATGCTGTCTGTCTCTCTGTCTAATAATAAACTTCTTCTCCCAAAGGACAACCGCATTACTGTTGATCCTTGAACCCTAGACTCCAGACCTCCCCTCCAGCTCCCCTGAGACCCAGACGACCCCTAAATAAATGGAAATGGTCTCCTTTCTGCCCCTTCCATCCGTAGCCTTTGGCAATGCCAAGACCATCCGCAACGACAACTCCAGCCGCTTCGGAAAGTACATTGACATCCACTTCAACCCCAGCGGGGTGATCGAGGGTGCCAGCATTGAGCACTTTCTTCTGGAGAAGTCCAGAGTCTGTCGGCAGGTGAGACTCCACCCCCCGGGGGCGGGGCTTCTTCACTGTCATGCTCCACCGACCTCTGTCACCTCCCGGATTCCAAGTGCTTCTCAATATTGTTGCAAAGGGAACAATTGCATTTTCTCAGCTTTGAATTTCTTGCCCATAGAACTTGCACATATGCATATGTGGTGTATGCATGGACACATGTTTGTGTGTGTGCAGATATACATGTGTGCACATTTGTGTGGTGGCCGGACGGCCAATCTTGAATGTCTTCCTCTATCACTTGCCACCTTATTTTTGGATACAGGTCACTCAGTGAATTCAAGCTCACTGATTCAATAAAACTACCTGGTCAGTATGCCCAGGCATCCTGTTTCTGCCTCCCCAGCACTAGCATTGCAGGTGTACCCCACCACAGTCAGCTTTGCACGAGTAGTGGGGACTTGAGCTCATGTTCTTGCGCTTGCATGGCAAATGTTTTACCAATTGAGCCACCTCTCTAAGCTCCAACATATCTATCTTTCTGCCTTTCTGTTTCCCTCCCTCCTTCCCGTCTGTCCTTCTTCCCTTCCTTCCTTCTTTCCTTCCTTCCTTCCTTCCTTCCTTCCTTCTTTCTTCCTTTCTTTTAACTTGCTGTGTAGATGCAGGAACAACTTTGACCTTCTCATCCTCTTTTCTTTATTCTTTGGTGCCTACCAAGCCTCACCTTCATTTGAATTAACTGAGGCCTGAACAAATCTACAGCAAGGTGCTTTGGAAACTGTGGCAGAGGGAGCTGGATAACAGAATAGAAGGCCATGTGACCAGGACTGGGGTCAAAGACATGAAGATCGCTGGGGTTTTCTGGACAGCCAGCCTGGCCTACTTTCCTGGTTCTAGGCCAGTAAGAGACCCTGTCTCAAAGAAAAAAGACAGACTCCCACGTAACTGCATCTAAGATTGTCCTGTGGCCTCCATATTCATGCTCGTACATGCATGCCTGCACACACAAGAACACAAACTCTTGCACAAACAGAACTATATATAGATAGATTATATAAGCAAATTTTATAAATGAATTTAAGGTCTAGAAGAAACACTAGCCTTGAAGTGCTTCTGTGGAGGGGGAAGTGGAGATTTGAGGAAGGGGAGAAGCCAAGTAGAAAGAAAGTTTATTTCATGATACCACACACAGATGAGAGTCTGAATTGTCACAGAGAGGTTATGGTTATAAATAGCACGTACAAACCCCATAGCTACCCAGGTGGTGATGCCGCATGCCTTTAACCCCAGCACTCATGAGGCAGAGGCAGGCGGATCTGTGAGTTTGAGGCCAGCCTGGTCTACAGAGCAAGTTCCAAGATAGCCAGAGCAGAGCTGTTATACAGAAGAACCCTGTCTCAAAAAAACTAAACAAACAAAAAAGCAAACAAACAAACCTCATATCTACACAAGCTCACGGCCACAAGCTCTTGAGAGGTCACAGAGTGACTACAGATCCCAGGAAACGCTGAACTGCAGAGCCCTGGACAGCCTTCTGGGCTAGGAAGTGAGGTCAAGGTCAATCTAAGGCCAGGCTAGACTCTTGGCTCCTCAGATGGTATCCAGAATCTTCTGCTGCTTAGAACGCAGGTGACCAAGGGGTGCAAACTGGTCCTGCATAAATGGCAGAACCACACATGGCTAGGAGTTCTTCAAGCTGAAATTGGAGACATTCTGTGGGACTTGCTCACGTGTCCCTTCCCATGTCCTTCCTCCTAGGCTGCGGAGGAACGGAACTACCACATTTTCTACTGCATGCTTATGGGGATGAGCCCGGAGGAAAAGAAACTGCTGGGGCTGGGCATGCCCTCTGACTACCACTACCTGACCATGGTGAGCCCCCAACTCCTCTTCCCAAAGGGAAGTGTTAGCATATGTTCAAACCTCGATCTTGACTGCTTAGGTGCTTCTCTTCTAGTTGGGCCCTGAGGTGAGTGCTTGGTCCCCTTCCCTCCTGTTTGGAAGCAATTTTGTGACCACCTTAGTGGCCCGACTCTTATTTCTCTTCCACTCTGTGTACTCCTGGAACCCCAAGCTAAGGCTCTGGTTCTTTCCCACACAACCCTTCTTCTTATGAAGCTCTCCAGGCCTACAAAGAGGTTCCCAGAACAGTAGGTAATAGATGGTTATCCACAGAATATTCATCCCTTCCCTGGAGGTTCACCTAGACTACAAGCTCTCAGAACATGAACTGAGCTCTCTCTGACCCCTGCTTTCCAGGACAGTGAGATTCAAGCAGCTATGAGTGACATGTTCTACCCCTTGGATCACGTCCTTCTCTTACCCCTTTGACTTTGAGGCAGTCATCAATACTTCAAAGTCTTAGTTAGTCCTTGCCTAGAACATGGCAGGAGTTGTGTTTTGGGGTGTCCCAGTGGCCAGATTTGACCTCTACTCTATCTTCTATGCACAGCTAAGGAGGTCTCACCATGCAAACCTCTCTGATAATCAATAGTTACTATAAATTCGAGACCCTTGGCACAACCTCACACTTCTCCAAGATCTGACCCTCCTTGCAGCAGCCTTTGGGCCCCACCTCCCAACTCTGTCCCATCAACCTCTGCCCTGTGAGAAGCCCAGCTCAGACACCTTCTACAGGGAAACTTTCTCTACCTCCCAGTAGGGCCAGGCTTGGCCTCTTTGGTCTTAGCACTGGTAAGAGCCCATGGCAGGTCTTTGGTCTCTTGCCTGCTTTCTCAGATCTACAATAGCTGTGAAGAAGAACTATGGGTCATTGGTTCATAACTCCTAGCAAGGAGCACAGGCCTTGCTATGCAGTCAGAGTTGAGAAGTGCTTCCTAAGGGAAAGAGCCCACTAGGCCAGGCTCAAGATGGCTGGATGACGAATAGAAGCCCAGAGAAGGGACTCACTCATGGTCACCCAGTGCTGCCTGCAATGCCCAGGTGTGCCTTAGCTGTGGTGCCAGCAGAGCTGTCAGGGTCAGAACCTGGGCCCTGACAGCTCTAACACGCCGGGCTCAGCTACCTCTCCTCAATAGACTAACGAAGCAGACAAGAGGACAGGCACAGGGCAGAGAAAGATCTCTTCAATGTGGCTACACCCAGAAGAGGCACACAGTCGAGTGTCCTCCAGCCTGGTCTGTATGTGGGGTCCTGACGTGAAATCTAGTTTTAAATGGAAGGCAAGAGCTATGGATAACTAAGCAGCCTTGTCTCAGCTCCAGTCCTCATAAGAGGTGGCCTGGCAACTATCAGAGCCGTGTGACATCTCTCCTGGCTGGCACTGGCCTTCTTTGTCTCCCAGATGAAATTCCTGTTTCTTAGGATCTATTGTTTCAACAGTCTAAAAGCCAAATGAAGGGGCACACGTGTCTCCTTAGAGAACCTCTGTGTGGTCTTGCCTCTGGAATTCACTGATTGATTGGTTGGTTGGTTGGTTGATTGATTTTGCTAACATGGATGTTGCCCTTCAGAGTCCACCCAGGGCTTTTTTAAGTAGACTTTTCAGAGAAACTTTCCTAAGCCGTCTTGTCCTTCCCGGCTCCTAGCTGGGAGAGGTGAGATCTGAGGTGGCTCTGTCAGCTGAAGTGTCCTGTTCCTGTAGGGGAACTGCACATCCTACGAGGGGCTCAGTGATGCCAAGGACTATGCACACGTTCGCTCGGCCATGAAGATCCTCCACTTCTCAGACTCTGAGAACTGGGACATCAGCAAGCTGTTGGCAGCCATCCTCCACCTGGGGAATGTGGGGTTTATGGGTAATGTTGTTCTTGTCTTGCTAACACCCCTGGGGAGAAAAGGGGAAGGATAGGACAGTAGGAGGGCGAAGTCTCTGGGTCTTTGTGCCAGAAGGACCATGTGATTTAACCCAGTCTTGGAAAAATACATCCTAAAAATATGGCTATTGTTTTGCAGTCCTCACAGGTCTGAGGAGAAGACGTGAAAGCATGGGTCCCTACAGGGAAAGAATCAGGCCTTGGGCCGAGCAGACAGCTCTCAGTGAGGCTGCTGACATGCAAGCATGGGACCTGAGTTTGGATCCTCAAGACCAATGTAAAAAGCCAGGCATGGTGGCACGTGCCTGCAATCCCAGTGGTAGGGAGGCAGAAGCAGGAAGGTCCTGGACCTCACTGACAGGCCAGTCTAGCTGAGACAGTGAGCTCTAGTACAGGGAGAGATTCTGTCTCAAAAAATAAAATGAAAAATGGTTAAGGAAGACCTCCAACATCAACCTCCAGCCTCCACAGGTGCACACATACCCACACAAAAGATCATTTAAAAGAGTCAGGTCAGTTACTCCATGGTTAGCGGGGACCCCAGAGAATTACCCACTTATGGCCAGGGTGAACTAAAGTATATGAAGCCACTGTGAACCCACACAACCAACCTGTAAGAAGTCAAAGCGCTAGGAGGGCTAAACGGTACTGGCCCGTGGTTTCCTGAGACACTGGCCATGATTAACAGTTCTCTCCAGAGGAAAATGCTGATAATCCAGGTCAGTAATAACTCTTTCTAATAGTTTTTCAGACACAAATCCAGCATGCAGCTGGAAACAAATAGGAAGGATGAAAAAGAAAGGCAGGCATGGCATGTGGAGGCGGACACAGTGGTGGGAAGATTGCCTGGCTCAAACCAGATAGAGAGCTCATGCCAACATGAGATTTAGACACAGTAAAACTCAGGCCTGGGGTTTGAGTTTTAATCATACCCCATATGTTTGTCACACAAGCTTGAGGGATTGAGTTTGGATCTCTGGAACCCACACAAAAGTCCTGGATCCCAGCGGTGGGGAGGCTGAGACAGGAGGATTCCCAAGGCTCATTAACCAGTCAGTTTAGCTAAACTGGGTGAGCGCTAGGTTCAGTGAGATCCTGTCTCAAAAACGTAGGGTGGAATTTGTGTGTGTTTGTAACACTAGTGACGGTGAGAGGGTGGTGGCCATGACAGGCAGGTCCCTAAAGCTCACTGGCCAGCCAGTCAAATCAAACCACCAGCCCTGGATTCAGTGGTAGACACCATCCCAAAAAATATAAGATGTCCAGCAATACTAAAGATACTCAACATTGATGTCTGGCCTTCATACTTACATATGTGCATGTGTAAATGCACCCATATCCACACATTAATGCATGCACACTACATGTGTTAATGATGTACACATACGTATACACTACACACATGTGCACGCACCACACAAAAACAAAATATAAGGTGGAAAATGATCAAGGAAACCACTTGTTGACTTCTGGTCATACACATGTGCACACACATGGACAGGTACATACACACAGACACACAGACACACACACACACACCACTCTCTGAGTTTTATGAAACTTAGAGAGTTTTAAGAAATGGTTTTATGAAACCATTTCTTTGCTTTTTAATTACCTTTTTATTGCCTACATTATGTGCCTATATGACTCTTAGGAGGTGTGTGTGTGTGCTGTGTGATGCTTGGTAGTGAACCCAGAATTCTTATGCACAGTAGGCAGGCACTCTACCATGATGCCACACCCTCAGTTCTCATAGCTTTTAAAGTCCCTGCTAGGCAGCCATTCCTTCAAAGAGGAGGGACTGAAAGCAGAGATGTAGTCAAGAGACAGTTGCTTCCAGATGGTTCCCCATTACTACACCACCTGACTTCACAAATACATACATGCCTGGGCTACTAAAGACAGTACAGTGAAGCCACGGAAGCTGGCTTCTTCTCTCATAACAGACCCCAGTCAGGCTCCCAAGTGCCACTGTCTTCTCAGACTCCCCGCATTGTCCCAGGGTCCTGATCAGCCAGAAAAAGGGAACCATAGCCTGTTTCACGGGTTCAGCTAAGTTGCTAATGGCTGGTGGTCAGTGGGGACATTCAGCCTCCCAGGAGAGGTTCCAGGAGATGTGGTTTACTCCCGAGTACAGTGTTTGCTAAGGTGGAGACACAGCCTGCCTGGGCCCTCTATGCATCACATCAGAGTCCTCTCTCAAGACTACTGCTTCTCTCCGCAGCTGCTGTCTTCGAGAACCTGGATTCCTCTGATTTGATGGAAACTCCAGCCTTCTCCTTTGCGATGAACTTGCTAGAGGTATTGGATCATCACATCCGCTAGTTCGGAGTCTTGTGAGAAACCTTGGGGGCTTTGGCTGTCAGAGCCCAAAACCTAATTCTCAGAGCCCTGTCCAGTTCCCCATGTGTGTTTCCCACACTCTCCCAGGTTCTCAGCCCATCTGCATACAGTGGACTCCTGGGGGCAAGCACCAGGGTGGGGGCAGGGTGAGTGACCAGCGTACTTCAGTGGACATGTCTTCCTCCTGTGTTCTGTACCCTCCCTACCTTCCAGTGGTTCTATACACCACGTCTTTACTTCTCACCCACTCACTCACAATGGGTTTCTCTTGGGCTTCAAGCCCCATGCCCATTAGAGTGTGCATTTTGTCTTATTCCACATCATTTGTGCATTTTTCTGGTCCAAATTAGTCTGGCTCAGCACAGAAAGTCCCAGAAAGCGAAAGAAAGCCTCACAAACCAGTCACCTCCCAAAGTCCCCCTTCCAAACATCACTGACACATAAATTTGGGGGTCATCTGTCCAACATAGAAACTCAGGGGCGCACATTCAAACTATATCAGGTGCTCTAAAACCTTGGCTCATGCCAGCTTTGTCTTCTCTGCATGGTGGGGAGGGCTCGCTTCCCTCCAACCTTCCTTTGCTCTTTTTCCCAGGCCCAGGAGACCAGCATGTTCAGGTTCACCAACAGGCAGTCTTCCACAAACATTGCAAAGGCACACATGAGACCAAGGCTGTGACCTCCCCCCCCCACGGCCCTGGTTTGGGTCCAAAACATTTTCCACCATCAAGGGGTCTTTGGTCACAAGAGGGACTAGGAACAGGTGTGAGTCGAGCCAGGCTCTGCTGCGCAAGTAATGATGCAGCCCCGCAGGTAATTGATGCAGCCCGCTCCCTTCCCAGGTACAGTTTCAAGCTCTCCGAGAATGCTTGATCAAACACACGATTCCCATCCGTGGAGAGTACGTCTCCAGGCCCTTGAACATTGCACAGGCCGCAGACCGAAGAGATGCCTTTGTCAAGGTAAAAAGCCACAGGGCAGGGCAGGACAGAGATGGATAGGCGGGTCCCAGCTTTGGGGGTAACATCCCTTGGGAGGCCAGTGTCAGCAATCTGCATGCAGCCTTTCTGGGTAATGGCCTCTTCCTTTGCCTTAGAGAGCAAAGCTTCACCCCATGTCTCCCCAGGGCATCTACGGGCACCTCTTCCTATGGATTGTCAAGAAGATCAATGCTACGATCTTCACACCACCAGGCGAGGATCCCCGAAGTGTGCGGAGGGCCATTGGTCTCCTGGACATATTTGGCTTTGAAAACTTTCAGAAAAATAGGTATAAAGACCTTAGCCTCCATTATTTCTGGAAATAGAACATGAAGGGCGAGGAGGACAGCTCAGTCAGCAAATGCTTGCCATGCGGGCTTGAGTCTCCTTCAGAGCTCATGGGGAAAGCTGGGCATAGTGGCTGCACATGCGTGTAATGCCAGTGCTGGGAAGGTAATGACAGAAGGACTCATGTGGCCTACAGCCTAGCCAGGCTATGTGAGTTGGTAGACACCCAGTCTCTAAAAGCTAGGTTGGATGGCATCGAGGACCAATATCTGAGGTTGATTCCACACACACACACATATATGCACACTTGTACAATGCACCCATGCACATAACACACATGCACAGTGCATCCATACACACACACACACACACACACACACACACACACACGATGAGCAGTGATTCTGACCAAGATTGAGGGTACCTGTCCCCCTTCCCTGACCTTACCCTGCCCACTAGGCTGAGCAAGGACTTCACACTCCCAGCTTATAATGCCAGGGTGTCTGTAAGCAAGTCTGGGCCTTCCTGCAAATACAGCCTGCATACATCTTAACATCCCACTGCCCAAAGAAGTCTGTGTAACTAAAAGCCGTCCCCAAGAGTCAGCTTACCCCAGCATTGCTCACCCCGTGAACCACTTCCCAATCTACGTTGACTTCGCACATGGGGTCAGGGTGGTAGCAGAAGTCAATAGTCTTGACTCATCTAGGAGTTCTTGTGGATCATCTCTGGCCTTTGAGTTTGGAAATGAGTAAGCACAGGCTGAACATCTCTGATTCAGTGTCCCAGAACAGCTGGAAGCAGGTGTGGGCATTGTCACCAGATGCCACTGTGGAGAGGGTTGGGCAAGGAAACTAGGTGGGCAAGAGAAGCAAATGTGGGCAGGTGATACTCAAGGTGGAGTCAAAGGCAGCAGGCAGCCAGCAAGGAAGTGAAGGTAGGGGTGCTCTTCCAGAGCTTTTAAGGTCAGAGTCCAGGCCCTGATAGTCCCCTGGAGTCAGAGAAAAGGAAGCATGTACTTAGAGGTTCTGGGTGCACACAGCACAGCCGCCTCATGGGGTAAAGATGCCTCATGACTCCAGGGCTTCCCAGGCTGCAGTAGTACCCAGCTGACCCTGCTCCACACTAAGATAACGGTGGTGGCGATTCCACAGCTTTGAACAACTCTGCATCAACTTTGCCAATGAGCATCTCCAGCAATTCTTTGTGAAGCATGTGTTCACAATGGAGCAGGAGGAGTACCTTTCTGAGAACATCACCTGGGACTACATCCGCTACACGGACAACCAGCCCATCCTAGACCTGCTGGCCGTCAAGCCCTTGAGTGTCATCTCCCTCCTAGATGAGGAGAGCCGCTTCCCACAGGTATGTGTCTGTATCTCCCTCGGAGTAGAGCCTGCATCCCGGGTCTCTTTTCTGATGTCAAGAAACTCTATGGTGCTGAGTGTGGAGGGTATACTCGTGCCCAGGGTGGTCACTGCCACTGCCTAACAAGTCCCAGTACAGCACACCTCCTGCAGGAAGGCTTTCCAGACTGCTAAGGACCTGGATGTTTGTCCAGTGGCTAGAGTAGGAGAGTTGACAAAGGAATAGCCCCTAGTCTCTGTTCCTGAGTTCACTACCACAAGTCACCAGCCAATGTGAGCTAGTTGTCCACCAATAGTGAGCTGTAAGTCATCCTAAACCCAGCTTGTTTTGCCTCTTGTGGGTTGGCCTCCTGACCTCCTCATGACTCTGGGGCCTCAGCCCTTAGAACATCTGGATTCTTCCAGGGGACAGATGTCACGATGCTGCAGAAACTGAACAGTGTCCATGCCAACAACAAGTCCTTCCTAAGACCCAAGAACATTCATGACACCCGATTTGGAATCGTGCACTTTGCGGGTGAAGTATACTACCAGGCAGAAGGTGAGCTCAGCTCTGTGTATGACCCACCTGGGGTCACACAGTCCAGGATCCCAGCCAGGGGATGGTTCCACCCACTGTGGGTAGATCTATATGCCTCAACTAAGGCAATCAAGATGATCCCCTGCAGGCAGGCCCAGAGGCCTGTCTACTAGGTTGTCTCTGAAGTTTGTCAAATTGACAAGACACTAACCGTTGCAGGTGTCGTCTATGCCCTTTATGACGGGTTTCTTTCACTTACTCCAAGGTTTTTGAGGGCTGCCTGTGTTAATGTAGGTGTGAGGGATCAACCCCAAGTGCTCACACTTACACACTAGCACTTTACCAATGACCCCACTCCCCAGCCATTGTTTCTTGCCATTGCAGAAGAATAGTCTGTGTTACTGGCCTATATTTTGTTTTTCTCTTCAACTGATGATATTTGAGTAATTTCCACTATACATCTATTTTATATAGCACAGTTGCACAGCTGCGAACATCCAGTGCAGAGTTTTGTGTGCACGTAGATCTCCATTCTCGCAGCATATATCCAGCAGTGGATTGCTAGGTCATGTGTAGACTTTGAGCACCCACAAAACTCTTTCCAAAGTAGTTGTGCTGTTTTACATTTTTCATAGGTGTGTAGGGGAGTGCCAACTTATCCCCATGCTTTTGAATTTGTGTTATCAGAGCATGACTTGCAGGAGTCTGTCCTCTCCTTCCACAACATGTGTTCTAGCGACCAAACTCAGGCCATCAGACTTGGCAGCAAGTGCCTATATCTCAATTCCTTGAGTCTTGTTTTTGTTTGTTTGCTTGTTTGCTTGTTTGTTTGCTTTTTAGATAGGAGCACGATGCATAGCTCATCCTGCACCTCCAACATATCTGGCATTACATGTGTGAACCACTGTGCCTGGCTTCATATCACTTTCTTAATGGTGCCAAAGGTTTGATTTTAAAGAAGTTTGGTTTATCTCTTGTCCTTTTGTCGCTTGTGTCATAGCTTAGACTCCACTGTAAAGTCTAGTGTCATGAGACTTTTTTTCTTGCTGATTTGTTTTGGGACAGGGTCTCCCTATGCAGCCCTGCCTGCCCAGGAACTTACTGCGTAGCCAGGCTGGCCTCTACAGCCCTGGCTTCTGAGTATTAGAATTACTCCATGAGTCGCTTCTCCCGGCTTTCTCCTACGTGTTCTTTGATTGTTGAGTATTTCTGGTTTGTTTTATAAAGCAGACTCTTCTGTAGCTCAGGCTGCCTTAAACTCACTGTGTGGCTGAAAACCACCTTGAACTCCTGATCCTCCTACCTACCAGTTTTTGTGTTGCTGGGAATCGAACCTAGAGAATCATGCATGCTAGGCAAGCACTCTACTAGCTGAGCCAGATCCCCAACTCCTCTCATACGTAGTCTTACAAGAGGTTTAGATTTTACTTTTAGACATTGGTTCCATGGGTTAACTTCCTGCTGTAGTCAGGTAGAGAAAGAAAGGTCAGCGAAGTCAGTCTGTTGTGCTTAGAAGAATGGGAAGGTGGCCAGTATGCTCTCATGGTCAGGAAAGCAGAGTAGGCAAGCATCATTCGTAGAAGTTTCTAAGTAGAGATGTGAATCTAGGAGCAATCTTTGCGTGCTCTTCCTGTAGGGAGACAGAGAGAGGCTGATAACATGCCGAGACGAAGCAGGGTGCTGGAGGTGGGGGAGTTCTGTTGGAAAACTGGGAAGGTGGGGCTCCTTCACAGTCCCTGACACTGCGGTTTAAGCTCTTGAGAAAGAGAGGGTTCCTGTATTAGTCACTGTTCTCTAGAAGAACAGAGCTAATGGATATATTAAAAGGGCACTTATCAGAGGAGTTTACAGACTCTGGTCCAACAATGGCTGTCTCCTGACAGGAAGGCCAAGGATCCGGTCATTGTTCAGTCCATGAGACTGGCTGTCCCAGTTGGTTTTTGGTCTCCGTTGTAATCCTGAAGAAGTAGGTTCCAATACCAGCAAAGGATTGGACACAGGACGACTGAATTTGCCACAGAGAGTGAGGGCAAGCAGGCAAATAGCAAAGCTTCCTTCTTCTGTGTCCTTTTATATAAGCTGCCACTAGAAGGTGTAGCCAACATGGGTCTTCTGATCTCAAATGATACAGATTTAGGGCAGGTAGTCCCATGTCACGTGATCCAATTAAGCAAAATCCCTCACAGGTATGCCCAGCTGCTTGGGTTTTAATTGATTCCAGATGTAGTCAAATTGACAACCAGTACTAGCAATCATAGTCCCAGAACCCAAAGAGGACAAGGAGCCCATCCCCCAGCACCCCTAAGTATTCAAGAGTGAGGGTTTTTGTTTGTTTTGCTTTGTTTTGAAGTGACTGAAACTTACAAGTGAAGGGACCAGAGTTGGCACAGGACACATCAAGACCAAGTTCTCAGCACAAAGGAGATTTATTTGCTCTAGAGGGACAAAGAGTAGGGAATTAGAGCCAAGGAAGAGGGTAGTAAAGGGGCAAGGGAGAAGGGGAAGGGATGTTTGCCCCAGAGGGACAAAGGACTGCCTCTGGATAGAGAGGAGATGTATGTGGCCTACAGGCAAATGACTGTTTATATAGAGAAAGGGGTAAACCCTGTGTTAGGATGAGGTGTTTAATGTTGACTGGACAGGTTAATTAGATGAGCTAAAATAGGACTTCTGATTGCTGGACTTCAATACTTCCATAGCTGAACCTTGGTAGTCAGCTTCGGGGGGAGGGGGAAGGGGCCAAATAAGGGAATGGACCTTGGTGGCTAGCTTTAGGAGTGTAATCTAGCAGTTTAGCAAAGGAGAGAGAAGGAGAGAGAAGTGCAAAAGGCAAAAAACATCCTTCAAAGAGGATGCTAAGATTCAGGAAACTTTTTTCTCCAAGCACAAGAACCTAATTCAGAATACCCAGAATCCATGAAAACCATACACTTCTGTGATCAGACACATCTCCCATCCATAGTAGTCTTAGCGTTGCTGTGCTGAAATGGAACACAGAAACAGGGGGATCCCTGGAAGCTCAAGGGCCAACAGCCTTGTGTATATAGGGTTGAATAGCAAGAGATTTAGCTTCAAACAAGACAAAAGGGGAGTCCTGTGATCTCCACACAGGCACCATGGCGTGCTCATGCCCATTCTCTCTCTCTCTCTCTCTCTCTCTCTCTCTCTCTCTCTCTCTCTCACACACACACACACACACACACACACACACCTCACACACATTTTAAAAAGCAAAAGCAGGGCTGGGTATTTAGCTCCAAATCTTGCCTGGCAGGCATTAAGCCCCACCATTTGCTCCCCAGCACCATGTAAACAGGCACAGTGGCACATGCCTGGAATCCCAGCAGTCAGGACATGAAAGCAGGAGGGCTAGACATTCAAGATCATCCTCAGCTACAAAGCAAGTCTGAAGCCAGCCTGGGCTATATGCCACCTAGTTTCAAAAAACGTAAAGCAATAAACACAAATGCTGAAGTGTATTGTTTTCCTTTGGGCTACCGTGTTATACCCATGACCTCATATGATTCATGGCTCATAGGCAACCATCTCTCCCTGTGACCTCACATGGTTCTCTCTCAGAGTTTAATGACACTGGCCATATGGCCATACTGGGTCAAGGTCTACCCTCATAACCTGATTTTACCCTCATCATTTCACCTCAGTCAGTAGTGCTTTCTGTGCAAGCATGATGACTGGGTGCAATCCATGACAAGAAAAGTCATGACAAGAAAAAAGAAAAATTCTGGACAGAGTACACCGCCTATAACCCCAGCACTGGGGAGGCAGACCCCTCGGCTCTCTGGAGAGCAGCTTAGCCAATTTAATGAATTCCGGGCTAATGAGGGACTCTGGCTTTAAAAAACTGTGGACAACTGATCTCCACATACATGCTCTCTGACATGCATGTGTATACATGGTACATATCGGTACCAAACCAACACAAACATGCACATTTGCATGCAGACAAAGCCTTCTCTTCAGACAGGCGGTCCATACTGAGTCCAGAAGTACTGGAAGCAAGGACAGATACAGTTCAGCCCAGAACACTATCCTCCCTCGTTTCTGAATGCTAAGTGTTCCCTTTGGGAAAACGCCAACCTTTGCAGAATGCCCAAGACCTCAGAAGCAGAATAACTGTATTCATTTAGACCGCGGTAGTGAACAGGAATGAGATGCAGGGATCTGAGAGTTCAGAGGTCAGAAGGGACGGTGCTGGTGGAGACAGAAGTTCTGAGTGGAAGATAGACAGTGCTTTGGGGGAACATTCTAGAGTCCCCGAGGCATTCTCACCTTACTCAAGGGATGGGAGAGATGGCTCTATTGGTCTGAAGGGTAGCCCTGATTTCTGCACAGGCTTTCTGGAGAAGAACCGAGATGTGCTAAGCATAGACATTCTCAAACTGGTTCAGTCCTCCAAAAACAAGTTCCTGAAGGAGATATTCAACCTGGAGTCACTACAAACAAAGATGGGCCATGGCACTATTCGCCAGTTGAAGGCAGGAAACCAGTTCTTCAAGGTGAGCTACTACCTGCCACCCTCACTCCAAGGCACTGTCCCAGACAGATAGGACCAGGGAGAGCCTTTATTCACTAGGAGTCCCTTGTGTGCAACATCCCCAGCATACAACATCCCCAGTGTGCAGCATCCCAGAGTGCAGCATCCTCAGTGTGTAGCATCCCAGCGTGCATCATTCCAGCATGTGACATCCCCAGTGTGCAGCATCCCCAGAGTGCAGCATCCCCAGTGTGCATTTGGTACCCAATGCGGCTTGTGCTGAAGTGAAGGAGAGAAGAGGAGAGAAGAAGGGAACAAAGGAAAGAGAGAGAGGGGGAAGGAGGGAAAGGAGAGGAAGGAAAAGGAAAGAGGGAAGGAGAGAAATACAGAGGGAAGGAGGAAGAGAGGGAATTGAGCGGGAGGGATGGCTCAACAGTTACGAGCACTGGCTGTTCTTTCGGAGGACCTGGGTTTAATTGCCAGCACTCACATGGCAGCTCACTGTCTGTAACTCCAGTTCCAGAGGATCCGATACCCTCACACAGACATGTATGCAGGAAAAAAGAAAGGGAATAAATGAAGAAGAGGAAAGAAAGGAAAGAAGACAGGACAGAGGGAGAGAAGGAAGTGGAAAAGAAAAGGAAAGAAGGCATGGGAAGGGACAATGGAAGAAATGTGTGCATTTGTCCTGGGTGACAGCCCTTGCTGTGGCATGGTCCCCAGTTCTCTGGGCATCACTTCCCTGCCCTTGTGACCCTTGCTTTCTCTTTGCAGCCGTCAGACTCCATCAAGCGCCCACTCACCCTCGCAGGCCAGTTCAAGCAGTCCCTGGATCAGCTGATGAGAATCCTGACCAACTGCCAGCCCTACTTCATCCGCTGCATCAAACCCAATGAGTACAAGAAGCCGCTGGTAACTAGGAGAGACTGGGGGTGTGCCCGAATGGGGTGCAGCACCGAGGGGCTGAGTTTGACGTCCAGGGCATGGCCAAAGTTGTAGCTGTCCACCGTCTCCGGGTCACAGCTCAGTGACCTGCATGGCTTCAGCTCACTTGCGCCCTAGCTTTTTAGCCCTCCCGTCATCTGCTGTGTATGCTTGGCCAGGCTCTGAGCCTCATTTTTCTTATCTTCCATGAAGTCAGACTTACTCTTGTCTAGAGGCAGTTAGCAATGAAGCTGTGGTCACAAGAATGCCCACATGGCCCAAAGTATCTTTGGGAGGCAAAACTTGCCCTCTGCAGGTGGGTGATGAGCAGTGGCAAGCTCCAACAAGCAAGCAGGTCTAGTGGGAAGTCTAGGACTCCAGGATGCCATGCTGTGTTCTTATTGGTCAGAGCTTGGCCTCACATTCTTACACGGGTGACTCATCCATGTGGTAGGGACAAGGTGGACTCCATGATTCCCTGACTTAAAGAACCTGCTCCCCAAAAGGCTGCAAGCACAGGGACTCCCCAAACCAGGAAATAGGATATGCAAAGATAAAATAACTAAAAACTGTGTCATAGGGGAATAATATGATATTTGTGTATACATGTTAGCATATGTATGCATGTGTGTATTGGGGGTGCACATATGTGTAATGGAGGATAGCGTTTGATATTTGGTATCTTTTTCATTGCTCTCCAAGTTATATAGTTTTTAAATTATTTTATTTTATAGGTATAGATATTTGGCCTGGATGTATACAAGCACCATGCATGTGCCTGGTGCCCATCGAGGCCAGAGTGGAACTAGAACTGGAGCTCCCCTAGAACTGGAGTTATGGACAGTGTGAGCCATAATATGGGTGCTGGAATGTGAACCCAGGTCTTCTAGAAGAGCAGTCAGTGTTCTTAACTAGTGAGCAATCTCTCCAAGAACTACCCCCTTTAAAAAAAAGTATGTGTATACATGTGTGTCTACGTGGGCACATGTGCACGTGAGTGCAATTGCTTATGGAGGCCAAACGAGAGCACCAGAGTCCCTGTAGCTGGAATTGCAGGTCTTTGTGAGCCTCCTGGACATGAACATTGGAACTAAACTTAGGTCTTAGCAGGAACATATGTGTCTTAATTGCTGAGCCACCTCTCTGGCCCCTCCACTGTATTTATTGAGACAGGTATCTCAATGAACCCGGAGCTTGCGGATTTAGCTAAACCAGCTAACCAGTAGGCCCCTGAGATCTGCTTACCTCCTCCTTCCTTCACTTGTATTGTTGGAACATACCTAGGTTTGGTGATGGTGGTGAGGTGGCATTTAATGTGGGCTCAGTGGCTCAAAAGGCAGATTGTCATACTTCCCTAGAAAGTATCTTACCAGCTGAGCCATCTCCAGCGCCAAAAGAAAATTACATTTGGGCTAACAAGTGGCTCAATGGGTACAGGAACTTGCTGCCAAGCCAGATGTCTGGAGTTTGGTCCCAGTACCCACATGACAGAAGTAGAGAACCAGCTTCCACAAGTTGTCCTCTCACCTCCACATACACGCTCTGTCACACATGCACCTTGACACACACGCTCATGTACACACACAATAAATAAGTGTAATGTAAGTCTAATGAATAAATAGTACATTAAAATTAAATACCTTTTAAATAGAACACAATTGTATGTATCGAGGCTGTTTTATAAAAGCTAGTTGTCTTAGGGTTTCTATTGCTGTGATGAGACACCATGACCACGGCAACCCTGATAAAAGAAAACATGTCATTGTGGTGGCTTACAGGTTAAAGATTCAGTCCATTGCCATCATGGTGGGGCGTGGCAGTGGACAGGCCGGCATGGTACTGGAGAGGGAGTTGAGAGTCCTACATCTTGCACCGGCAACAGGAAGTGGTCTGAAACACTGGGTGGTATCTTGAACATAGGAGACCTCAAAGCTCACTCCCACAGTGGCATACTTCCTCCAGCAAGGCCACACCTCCCAATAATGTCACTCCCTATGAGCTTATGGGGGCCAATTATACTAGGATAGACAACTGGTAGAGGAAGAGACCTGGTCAGTCATTCTCATCCACTTAGACCATGGAACCCAATATGGACAAGTTCAACAGAACCGCCATATACAGGCTGTCCATGCATGCTTCAGTATTGCCAGGCATACATTTCATTTTTCATTTCAGACAGTTGCTATAGACAACAGCTACTCCTTGTTTTGTTTGTTTTTGAGACAGTTTCTTTGTGCAGCCTCCTAGGTGTTCTGAGACTAGCTCTATAGATCAGGCTGAACTTGAACTCACAGACATCCGCCTGCCTCTGCCTCCCAAGTGCTGGGATTAAAGGTGTGCCCCACCACCACTAGCATAGGCAACTCTTCTTTTTCCTGCTGGTAAAGAGGTCCTGCGGGTAGGCTGAGGCTCACATTCTCTGGTGCCTCTGACCAGAATTCATCTCAGTGGCAGCGGCTGCCTGCTGTGAGATGTGGGGAGAAGCCCAGGCCGAGGAGCAGACAGGCCCAGCCACTGAAGAGTATGGCCCTGCCCTTCAGGCATCTCATCTTTGAACCAGCACCAATCATGCCTGTCACTTACGCTGCTATGGAGATTAAATAGAAACTACAGGCTCTCAGGACACACTCAGTTAGTAACAACTGGCTGTTCACCCAGGGCTAACCACGGTGACTTTCGCCAACCTCCCATGGGCTTATCTATTTAAAGGGAGTCATCTCCCCTAAAACTTCAGGTTGAGAGTACCCTCTGGAGTCCTGGAGATGAGGGAAGCTAAACGCCACACCAGATTCCTGTCAGTCACACTGACCTCCGACATCAGCTCCCTCTCCCTCCATCCAGATGAGGAAGAGAGGACAAGGCTGAACCAAAAGAGCCTCTGTCTCTGAGTAGATTCGCTTCTCCCTTCCACTGAGGAGGAGAGGCACGATGCTGCCTTTCTCAGGGCGGCCTCCAGGTTGCTGTAAGCCAGGCCCACATAGAGACTTTGCATTTCTAAGGGAGGGCATATGCAAATGACTCCTCCCCTGGGTGTGTGATGTAGGTGGAGGTCAGAGGACAACTTCTGGTGCTGTCCACCAGACACTTAGAGTTTCTACTGCTGTGATGAAACACCATGACCAAAAGCAACTGGAGGAGAAAAGGGCCTTTGGAGGACTGGACAGATCCCTCTGCAAGCTGACCCCCCACCCCTGGCAGTAGCGACAGTCAGTGGTTTGGGAGGGTGGGGTCCTTGGCTCCTCAGCCCAGCCTTCTCTGCCCGCAGCTGTTTGACCGCGAGCTGTGCATTCAGCAGCTGCGCTATTCCGGCATGATGGAGACGGTGCAAATCCGCAAGTCAGGTTTTCCCATCCGCTACACGTTTGAAGAGTTCTCCCAGAGGTTCCACATGCTGCTGTCCAGCCCTGAACGCAAGCAGGTGTGTGTCTCCGAGCTGGTAGAACCTTGTGCCTCCCACTGAGTCCTCGCCACCTTCCTGATCTCCTGGACCTCCCTGGATGGCCAACCCCAGCTGTCTGTCCTTCCCGTTGTCCCCTACTCTGTCTTCGCAGGCAACGTGCCTGGCTCATAGGCTTCTGGTTGATGCTGGTGGCTGTGTGTATTCCTTTTAGATGTCTGTGGGTTTACTCTGCTCTCCTGAGACCACCAGGTCCAGTATCTGAGGGGTGGCTAGGAAGATCTGTGGAAGAATGTTCTGCCATTCTTCTGCAGCGCGGCCATCCTAACATCTGGATTGGTCTGAGGCTAAGGGCTCTCCAGCTACGTGGAGGCCCCAGGCCCCCCAAGTATCCTATATGTCCCTCATTCCCTTAACCTGGAGTGTAGGCAAATGCCTGAGTATAGTCAGACAGCCCTTGCTGGGAGGCCTGCATGACCCTGGAGGAGACCCTTACCCCTCTCCAGAGTCCCTGACCACCCCTGGTTTTTCTCAACAGTTTCAAGACAAACACCGCCAAATGACCTTGCGCATTGCTGACCTGTGCCTGGGGACAGACAAAGACTGGAAAGTGGGAAAGACCAAAATCTTCCTGAAGGTGAGACTCCATGGCCTCCTGGAAACCATAGGGAGGGAAGGGAATATTCCACCCTGCCTGCCCTGTCCCCAGCTGGGCTATGGGTTCTTCTAGCCATTGTTTCACACATTTTTGGTCCCATAATGGGGATCTGGAATCTAGACAGGAAGAAAGTAGTAGAGAGACAGGATAACAGAGAGACAGTCCCAAGGGAACTGTCCAGGAAGGTGAAATAGCCACGAAAAGCCACACAGAGCAGCACAGGGTAAAGTTGGTAATAGTGAAAGAATGAGAATAGAAGGTTCACCCCTGGCTCCTTGCGTTCATGCCCAAGATCTGGTCCAGGTCTATGTCTTTAAGCTCACCAGGGCACATGAAAGACTCAATCCTCCTGATGCTAAATAGAAGAAGGAGGGGGGAGGGAGAATGAGGTGGGAAGGAGGATGAGAGACAGGGAGGGAGGGAGGGAAGGAGGGAGGGAAGGGAGAACGGTTGAGCCACCAACATCTCTCCACCAGCCACAGAACCACTGCTCTCTGTAAAGTAAAGACAATCCCTGCCTTCCTGGGGCTACCATGGCAGGCCTGTGCTTCCCATATCAGGCCTGGGAATTAGGAGGGGTGAGAGGCAGGAGAGGACAACCCCCAATGGAGGAGAACATCATCTCGTGCTGGCTCCCGTGATCTCTTCTCATGGGCATTGGGAACTATTTTCACACAAAAATAAGCTCAGGTGTGCTATATAGTCCACTGCAAATTGTGAGTGACTTTGTGAAATGAAGACTGACAGATTGAAAGTGTAAAACAAGACGTTAAAGTAAGTTTGGTGCTAGGGTGAGCTGTAGCTGCAGCTTCATTCCGATCCATATCAGGGTCCTTCCTTTGCCGGTCCTTGTAGGAGAGTCTGGGACATAACTGACCCTGGAGACCAAGACTTGGTCCCAAGCAGAGGTAGAGGGGCGAGGGAGGGGTACCAACATGATGTGGTCTCACCCACCCTCAGGATCATCAGGACACAACGCTGGAGATCCAGAGGAGCCAGGCCCTGGACGGAGCAGCGACCTGCATCCAGAGAGTCCTTCGGGGACACAAATACAGGTGTCTGTCCCATAAACCATCCCAAAGTTTGACTTGATCTGGGCAATAAGTATTCTACAGCTATTTGGAGATCCCAGGCCCACCAAGTAACCTATGTGCACCTCACCCCCTTAACCTGGAGGGCAGGCAAGTCATTCAGCACATGTGTCCCTCGGGCAGGCCTGGGAGACTGAGGCACAAAATCTCCTCAGTTCAGACAGTCAGTCAATATACATCTTGCACACACACAGACACGCACGCACACACACATAGGTACAAGTGCAGGTTCTCAAGTTTACAAGGCAAGCACTTTGTTGATGAAGCTATCTCTGCCAGTAAAGTGATCTCTTCCATCCTAACTTCTCGGTCTTAGCTCCTTTATCATAATCCCTTTGGTCCCTGCGGCCCTGCTCATCTTCTTCAGCCCATTTCCTCTCTGTCCTGCAGATTGAAAAAATCTTTTGTTCTACCTTCAAGCTTACTGATTCATCTCTGCTCTCTCCATTCTGCTACTTGGTCCATTCACTAAGGGTTTGTTTTTAATTACAGTGGTGTGTGTGTGTGTGTGTGTGTGTGTGTGTGTGTGTATGCACAGGTATACACAATTAGAAGGCTGACTTGTGTGCGTGTGTATACATAGGTATATACAATTAGAGGATTGACTGACTCATTCTGTGTCTGTGTGTCTGTCTCTATGCCTGTCTTTCTCTCCCTCTCTGTGTATACACTAGACAAAAGCAAACACTCTGATATAACTGTTCTATAGGGGACCCAGGAATAATCTATATTGAAGTTCTCTGTATGGTTTTTAATATGACTGGGATATACTATTCTAAACCTAAGAAACTCACCTGCAAAAGTATTAAAAGTGGCAAGAAAACACAATTGAGTATGAAATAAAAGGTCTATGTGGGCCAAGCTCACTTGAGAGGTCCTTGCTGTCTGTAACCCTGCTTCCAGATTCTGTCCCAGTCCTGGGCTGAGGGACTGGCAGGAATTTGAAGCTCCCTTCTCAGATGACTCTGGACTGTGTCAAATTGATAGATAAAGCATTCTAGGACACAATGTGAATGTCAGATGGGTGTGCCGTCTTCCCATCGGTTCAGCTTTAGAAGGTGGAGATGGGATCTTCAGCGCAAACCAGCTGCTCAGCTAGTCATATCAGTGAGCTCTGGGTTTGCATGGGAGACTCAAGGAATGGAAAGGTAGAAGGACTGAGGATAATTTTATATCATCCTCAGGCCTCTACATACACAAGCATATATGCCTACACACATGCAAGAACACATGCGCACATGCAACACACATACACATGAAAACAGAAAAAAAAAAGAAGTGAAAAAGTGGCCATTGATTCTGTTCCTTCGTGTATCTTGGTGGAATATGAAGGGATGAGAAGGGATTTCTTGATTATTTTTTAAAAACTGGTTTATCATCATTCAAATGTGAGGAGAGTTTTTGTCTCGCTTTAGTTTTGTCTGTTTTACCTGAGGTTTTTTGCTTGTGATGCTGAGGGCTGAATCTAAGACCTTATACTAGACAAATGTTCTCTCGCTGAGCTATATCCTTAGCCCAGAGATGCGGGTTGTTATTAGTAAATCCCATGATTCTAACCTGCATGCACATCCTTAGGTCTTGCGAGGCATCCAAGTTTGCGCCATACAGTTCCCTTCCTCCATGATATTTTATTACCCACCTTTGTTTCCACACAGATCCCTGTGTTGTTTCCACACCCCTCCAGGACCTAGAAGGAGAGTTATTTAGCATTTCTAATTTGCATTTTCTCTCCAGGAAGGAGTTCCTGAGGCAGAGACAGGCGGCTGTGACCCTCCAGGCAACATGGCGAGGCCACTGCCAAAGAAAGAATTTCGAGCTGGTGAGAGAGAGAGAGAGAGAGAGAGAGAGAGAGAGAGAGCGCCTGGGAAGATGGGCCTTCAGGGGCAGCAGAAAACAGACCCATGAAAGACACATCATTCACGATTGTTTCTCTGAATTATAGCTCCAGGCAGGAAGCATTCCATTGCGAGTTGATATAGAATACAGATTTTTTTCTTTTCTTTGCATGATCTCCAGCCCTGTGTTGGGGGTGGGGATCGATGTTCCCCTCCAGAATTCTGGGCATCCCCCAGAGCTGGACTGGGTTGATGGCTTCTCTTCTCCCAACACGGAGTCAATAGACTAAGCAGCCGGATGGACCTCAGGTTGCAAGCATTGCTTCCTCATTTTACTTCCCACCACAGGCCCCAGATAGAGACATTGTTCTCTATGAATCAGAGAGGCTGTCACCGCACTCTCTTGGGCCTCACTTGACCCTTTGTTCCTGTCATGACTGTGACTATAGCTGCAGCTTAAAAGGGTTACGTCAGCAACAGGCCCTGAATTTCAGCTCTGTGCTCAAAAGTAGTGGTAGCTGACAAGAAAGGAGGAGCCACGTGGGGACCTGTTGTAGTGAGTGCACTGTTTTATTTAATATTAATCACTCTGTAAGTAAAGGAATTCAAGCACAGAGGGTTTACTTAACTAGATTTTCTCATGAGTGGGTCTATCCGGCATCTAGGAGTTCCTGTGACTTTCACACCCTGAGGCCACGTCTAAGTCAGTCTTTGATCAGCCAACAGGCTCATTCCGGAGACCCAGGGACATCTGTGGCCTGGTATAGATTGAGTGTTCATGCATTTCTTACTCTCCCATTTTAAAGATACCGACCCCGCCTGCGAGGACTCCATGGGAGCTCATAGCCCAGCACTGTGATGAATCTGCTGGCTGCTGTGAAGCCCACGCCGGTCCCCTATTTACGTGGCATTGGCTACTTCCCTTGCTGCAGCAACAAAATGCCTGACTAAAGCAACTTAAGGAGGGAAGGGCTTGTTTGGGCTCACAGTTCAGGAGGATACAGCAGTCCATTATGATAAGGAGATCACGGCAGCAGAAACACGAGGCTGCTAAGCTGCATTGCATCCGCAGTCAGAAAGCAGCGAGCAAGGAGTTCCTACACTCAGTTAGGCGTCTCCTTTATATACGATGCAGAAACCCACCCATAAAACGGTGCTGTCCATGCTTAGGGTAGATCTACTTACCTCAATTAACCTTATCTTGAAAACCCTTCACAGACAAGCCCAGAGCTTTGTCTCCAAGGTGATTCTAGATCCCGGCCAAGTTCACAGTCAATATAAACCATCACATATGCTATTTGCCGGGTGCTCATCAAGCACTTATTTGACTGATAGGCTCTGCTCCTGTTTACAAGGAATTAATGGGCTCATGCACATTGGCCTGTAAGGATGCTCGTAATACCAACACCGTACGAAAAAGAATAGGTGACTAAATCATACCAAGGATCTCCCGGGAGAGCCACTCTCTGCTCTCTCGGGAAAGTGTCTTGCAGTCAATCTAACTACCTTCTGTTCCCACAGATCCTAGTGGGGTTTAAGCGTCTGCAGGCCATTGCCCGGAGCCACCAGCTGATGAGACAGTTCCAGACCATGCGACAGAGGATAGTGCAGCTGCAGGCCCATTGCAGGGGCTACCTGGTGCGACAGCAATTCCAGGCCAAGAGGAAGGCAGCGGCGACCAAACAGGTACATGCCAGAGACCTGGCTGCCCAGTGGAGCTTCCGGCAACAGAAACCCGTTGTAGGTGGTTACTTGGTGTGCAAGGGAGGTAGGGCTGTCTGGGGCCAATAGGAAAATTGATGAGTCTCAATTAATAGTACTTATGAGAAGTACTTTAGAATATCCAACATTCTCAGACAAAGACGTTTAAATCTACACAAGTTACTCGAAACACAGCCAAAATCCATGAAGCAAATTAGGAGATGCTGTTGGGGCTGTAATTTAGATAGTGCACAATGTCTGGGACTGTAGCTCGACTGGCAAATGTCTTAGTTAGGGTTTGTTTTGTTGGTTTTTTTTTTTTTTGATTTTTCGAGACAGGGTTTCTCTGTAGCTTTTGGTTCCTGTCCTGGAACTAGCTCTTGTAGACCAGGCTGGCCTCGAACTCACAGAGATCCGCCTGCCTCTGCCTCCCGAGTGCTGGGATTAAGGGCGTGCGCCACCACCGCCCGGCCTTTAGTTAGGGTTTTATATTGCTGTGAAGAGGCGCCATGGTCATGGTAATTCTTCTAAAGGGAAACATTTAATTGGGGCTGGCTTACAGTTCAGAGGTTTAGTTTATTATCCTCATGGCAGCATGCATGGTGCTGGAGAGGTAGCTGAGAATTCTACATCTGGGTTGGCAGGCATCAGGAAGAGAGAGTGAGCCTCTAGGTCTGGCTTGAGGTTCTAAAACCTCAAAGGCTGCCCTCCCCCACCCCATGGTGCACTTCCTCCAACAAGCCACACCTGCTCCGACAAGGCCACTCACCCTAAAAGTGCCCCTCCCTACGGGCCTCTGTGGTATATTTCCATTCAAATCACCACAGTAAATGACTTACTATGTTTCCTGCTGCTATGACAAATACCCTCACAAAAGCAATTTAAAGGAGAGGGTTTATTTGTGAGAGTCAAGGCTGCAAGAGGTTGAAGCAGCTAGCCATCTTACAACCAGTCGAGAGCAGAGGCCAAAAATAGTTAATGTATGTGTGCTAATGCTAAACCCCTTGCTCCACTCAGATAATCCGGGATCAGTTGCCCACGGCATGATATCACCCATGGTGGGGTGGTTTTTCCGCCTCAATTAATGTACCCAAGATGGTCCCCCATAGACATGCCTACAGACCAACCCTCATTGAGACGCCCTTTCAAAGTGATTCTAGAGTGTGTCACATTAACAATCAAAACTAACTATCACACCTCACATGCTTGAGTTCCTCAAATCGATCCCCAGACCCCATGTGAAAAGGGCAGGTGTGGTGGTATGTGTTTGTAATACCAGTATAGAGACAGTGGATTCCTGGGGCTTGATTGTCAGCCAGACTAGCATAGAAAAAGATTCTGTGTCATAAAACAAGGGGAATGGTGCCTTATGAATGATCTGAGATTGACCTCTGACCTTCATATAATTGCACCCTCATCTACCCAAATGAACAAGTGCCTGCACGCGTGCACCACACACACACACACACACACACACACACACACACACTCAAAATAGGAAGCAGACTAGATTCCCTTCTCGTGTAGCTCATAACGGCCTCTGGGAAGGAAGACCCAGTCACACCCAGGGGACTTGTAGGTATAACATGAAATAGGAATCAGATGAGCAAGACAGCCTTGTGTCTGGAATGTGGAAGTGGAGCATCTTAGCCCTTTGGGCTTGGGATGACTTCTAATCAGGGATGATCAGTCCCCTTAAAGGTGCAGGGAATCTAGGCCAGATCTGCTGTGAGAGGCGCTGTCTCGCTAAGAAGAACAAACTGTTCAGGAGGCAGGAAAGCACAAGACTCATCATCCATCCTGTAGGAGATTGAGAGGATGGGGAGCAGTCGATTAGCATCAAGGTAACCCCCCATATTCGAGGGGGCGGGGCTAGGGAGAGAGCTCAGTTGCTACAGTCCTTGTCTCACTAAGCTGAGGACCTGAGCTGGATCCCAGAGCCTACATGAGAAACATAGATATGGTGGTATGCACCTGTAATCCTAACACTGGGTACATGGAGACAGACAGATCCCTCGAGGTCACTGGTCAACCAGCCTAGCCCTCCGGGTGAGCTGTCAATGAAAAATCCTGTCTCACAAAACAAAAAGCTTACAATATAGACAACTCCTGAGGAACAACGCAAGGTTGTTCTCTGGTCTACACACACACACACACACACACACACACACACAGAGAGAGAGAGAGAGAGAGAGAGAGAGAGAGAGAGAGAGAGAGAGAGAGCAAGCTGCATTTTAAAATCCCACTATGCAGGATCTTACCACATCCAGGATGTATCTAAGAACCAATCTCGTCAACCTCATTCTTTATTTCCGGTTCATGCTGCAAATATGATGCAGCAAAGGGATGGGATAACATGGGCTTCGTCTCCACAGACACACATGGGTCCTTCTGCACAACATACTGGGAAAGCAAGCAGGCCGTGTGAGAGGAAAGATCCTCAGGCATTTGGGTTCCTGAAGTTTGTGGACTGCCTCAGTGATGAAACTCTCCTCCCTGATAATTGCTAGAAATGAAGAGGCCTGATGAATCATCTCTACTCGTTCTAGATGTTAAATTTTATGATTGGGCAAAGTGAATGGCTCAGTTGGTAAAGTGTCTGATGTAAGGACCTGAGTTTGAATCCCCAACATGCATGAAAAAAATCCAGCGACGGTGACATTCACCCGCAACCCCAGCTCTGAGGAGGCAGAGGCAGGGGCCTCCCTTGGGCTGGATAGCCAGCCCGTTTCACCAAATTGGTGAGCTCCAGGCTTAATAAGAAGTTCTGTCCCATGGGAAAAGAGGAGGAAGGGGGAACTGTGGTTGGTGTGTAAAATGAATTAAAAAATCTGTCTCAAAAAAATGGAGAGCAACTGAGAAAGACACTTGTGCACACATGTCATGTACACAAAATTATTATTATTTTAGGGGAAACATCTTTATTTGGACAAATGATGGCAAGATAAGGGTTGCTAGGCTTCTGGGGTGCTCTGCCCTGTGATGGTAAGCAATGTTGCACCCTGGAGGTGAGCCCTGCCTGTAAGTGACCTTCTCTCTATTGGGTGTATACAGGAACCTCGGGTCATTCTGGCTAGCAAACCAAAGGGTCAAGGTGCTGTCCCTGACAGGAAGCGTAAGTCCATCTATGACATGGTCACCGACACAGAGATGGTGGAGAAAGTGTTCGGCTTCCTCCCAGCCATGATTGGAGGCCAGGAGGGCCCAGCTCCGACAGGCTTTGAGGTAAGACAGTCCAAGCAGGGACGGGAGGACCCTTCTCGGGCTAACTGGGACTTGTTGCATGCACTCCATTGGCTGAAGCTTGGCCCATGTCCTCCCTGTTTGGCCTTCCCAGGATATGGAAGTAAAGACTCAGAAACTGCCTGAAGTTGATCTGGATGCAGTGCCCATGACGGAGATGCCTGAGGAAGATAGGGACGATTTGGCTGAGTATACCTTCCCCAAGTTTGCCGTGACTTACTTCCAGAAATCATCCAACCATACCCACATCCAGAAGCTGCTCAAGTACCCACTGCTCTACCATGAAAACGAATCTGACCACCTGGTACCAGCTGTTCACTGGTTTCTGTGTAGCACAGCCCTGCTCCCCCACCCCAGAGCCCAAAGTCTGAGCTGTGGTCCAGAGGAAGTAAGCAAAGGGCCCAGGTCACATGGACTCCAGTGCTGGAATCAACCAGGCCTCCTGTCTCATTCTCCAGGCGGCTCTAGCTGTGTGGCCCATCATCCTGAGGTTCATGGGGGACCTTCCGGAACCAGTGCTCTACACCAGGAACAGCCTGAGTGACTCGGTGACACGGCAAACACATAACAGCCTGAACAAGGACAGAGGCACTCAGGGCCCACAGCACAATGGACACGCACAGGTATGCGGTGAGGACAGCAGACAGAAGAACTCGGGAAGCTGGGCAGAAGCCTAGTCCTCAGACACGACTGTGTCTGGGAAGGCACCAGTCAAGAGCGGCATCAGGACAGTTGGGATGTTGCAGTCGTGAGTGGAGAGGGGCTTCTAAACTCCCACTATTAGCTTTGACTAATTAACATTTAAAAGCAACAACAGATTTTTGAGGCTGGGGCTATGACTCAGTTGGTAGAGTGCTTGCCTAGCATGAACAAAACCCTGAACTTGATCCCTAGACAAGGTAGGAACATACTTGTTATTCCAGCGCTCAAGTCCTAGACGCAGGAGGGTCAGGATTTCAGGGTCATCCTTGGCTATTTAGCGAGGTGGAAGTCAGAGAAAAAGATACGGAGAAGGAAAATAAAAAGGGCCGGGGAGCTGACTCAGTGGATGAGAGCATTTGCCATGAAAATCAAATCCCGCCCCCCCAAAACCAAGCCAGAGGCACAGTAGCTTGAGCATCTAAGCCTAGCACTCCCCTGAGGAAATGGGAAGCAGTCAGAAGACCCCCAAAGCCTTAGTGTGTACAGTGATGATGGTGCCCCATATCAAAAAAGACAGTGAGAACTGATGCCTGAGGCTGTCACCTGACTTTCACACGTACGCTGGCTGTGCACACATCTGTACGTACGCATGCGCACGCGCACACACACACATCAAAACAAAACAAAAAGCAGATGCTACTACTGAATGACAGCCCAGTAGATAGCTGTTACTTTTCTTCATTTAATCCCCAGGTATGCCAGTCCTATAAAGTATCGATTATTATGTTTATCAGTCAGGGTGAACACATATGTGGGAGCTGGTTTTCAACCCACTATGCTGACTCAGAGAGCGAGTTCCTTTCTTATTCCTTCCTGTGCCTGAGATTGAACCCCAACCCTGGTATGGGCTAGGCATGCTGAGCTGTACCCCCAGCTGAGCTGTTAAGAGCCTGTACTGCTCCTCCAGAGCACACAAGTTCAATTCCCGGCACCCATATCAAGCAGCCCACCAACATCTGTAACTCCAGTTGCAGGAGACCCAATGCCTCTGTCCTCCTCTTCATTCGTCTGTACACCCACAGACACACATATTTAAAAATAATTCAAATAAAAGCTTTTCTTTAAAAAGCTGTGTGCTCGTGACCTTGGCACTGGCAGGGTAAGAAGATTTCTGGATCTTACTGGTCAGCCAACCCAGCCAGCCCCGCCAAATCTGCGAGCTCTAAGTTGTATAAAACACCCCGACTGAAAAAGAAAGTGGAGGGGCTAGAGAGACGGCTCATCAGTTAAGAGCCCTTGCTGCTCTTCCAGAGTTTGCTTCCGAGCACCCAGTATTTATAACCACTTCTAAGTCCAGCTCCGTGGAATCCAATGCCTTCTTCTGACCTCTTTGGGCACCACACATAAAAATATTTAAAAATTATATTGTGAAATCATTGAAGAAGATCGCTGATACTGATCTCTGGCCTCTATCTACACTCACATACATGTGCATGTTCACCTGTGCCCTCAGCCCCACACACGCAAATGCCTATACAGATGTTTACATACAGACAGGTTAAATATAATTCACAATATCTTTTGGCCAAGGCCTCTTCCAGTTTCATGCAATGAATTAACCAAAATCGAAAGGAATTACTTAAGCAGCAGTGATAGTAGGCAGGGAGCCACTGCAGAAGTCCAGGAGGGCTCCACACCCCAGGTCACTGAAACGTGAGGCCCCATGTTCCGACTAAACACAGAGGAGTCTAAAAGCCTCCACAGCCCTGACTGTGTGGACGACCCAGGGTCAGTGAGGCTTCCTGATCTCCAGAGGCATGAGCTCTACCCAGTGTGTTAGGTAGTGGCTGCTGCGTAATAGGTCACCCTGAAGCACAGCAGCTTAAGACAGGGCAGACTGGTTCTTTCTGAGAGACGGGAGTGGCTTGGATGGTTTTGAATCAGAGTGTCTCAAAGATGCTGCCAAACTGTCAACTTTCACCGGAATAATCTGTAGGATTGACCCGAGTCCACTCCCAAGATCATGGAATGGTACATGGGTCCCAGCTCTATGGTGCCTGTCCTGAGCTAGCTAAGAATCCCCACAACATGGTTTTTCCTTACACTGAGTGATCCAAGAAAGACGTAGTGTCTAATCTTGGAAGTCACACACTTTGTGAGGCAGGGGCATAGCCAGAATGGGGATGTCAGTAGATCACATCGGAGGCAGATAGCCTTCCCAGGGACTCCAGAAGACAATCTGTCCTCTAAAGGGTGGACATAGAGACACTGGACTGACTTCCTAGGGTCGGGTCTCAGTTTTCTTCCACACACATTTGTTCCATAGGCCAAGCAAGCCCTGCCCATTCTCCAAGCCAACGTTTCACACTTAGTTCCTGTATTCCAAATCAGCTTTACCCAGACAGAACTTGTACCTGGCCCTGACTTGACCTCAACCCAAGCTCAATCTCTTACCAAGCTCTAATCTGGGCAGCAAAATCTCACAGTGATGTCATGGTGGCAAGATGCACCCTCTGTCCCCACCTGTGCTATTGCTTTGTAAATTGAGCCAGAAAGTGGCTGAGTGTCAAAGACAAATGCCCTAGCCCTGGTGGCTACATGGTCAACCCCGCGAGCACTAACACTCCCTTGGTTCCCTGTCCACTTCCACAGAGAATAAGCAGCTGAGACCAAGAGTTCTGTGATATCTCCTCATAAAGCCAAAGTGGTCTTCATGGATCACTGGCCCGATGAGAGCAGCTAGATTTGTCTGTCTTGGCTCGGTATCGGATTGGTGCGTGGTTCCAGCAGGGTCACAGCTGTGCTAACAACTGTCCGTGAACTCTAGGTGGCCAGAAAACTGAATCCTGGTGAAGAGGCATTCAATTCTGATGTCCCTGTCTCAGAAAGACCCATGTCTAACCTGGAGAAGGTGCACTTCATTGTGGGCTATGCCATCATGCATCCCGGACTCAGGTCAGTCTCCCCTGGCTTCTGATCAGGACATCAGGCCACATCATTGGCACTTAGTCCACGGTGGCATCATCTTATTATCTGCCTTGAGGTACCAGCTCTTCTCCTACTCTCTGGTCTGGGCCTCTTCTAGGTAAGACCTTGGCATAGTAGATGACAGAGCCACCCAGGGCTCTCTTCCTGACTTATTAAGAAAAGTTGTGAGATGGTTTGGTTGGTAAAATGTTTGCTGCACAATGCTGGATGACCTGAGTTTGATCCCTAGAGCCCACATCATCAAAAAAACAAAAAACCAAACAAACAAAAAACCTAAGTCAGAAAAGTAGTGTGAACTTGAACTTGTAATCCCTGTGCTGGGGAAGTAAGGACAGGGGGATCTCTGGGACTTGCAGGCCAAAGAGTCCAGCCAAACCAGTGAGTTCCAGGTCAAGAGACCCTGCCTCAAAACATAAGTGAGTAGTGTGGAGAGCAACCAAGGAAAACATCTACAAGATCACACACATAGACACACCTACACATTCCTGTGCACAAGAGGGGAATAGGAGGACCACTGGCCAAACCCAGTTCTTGCTTTTTGTTTCTGTTTTTTGCTGGAGAGAGGTTTAGTATAGAGAGCCTACTAATTTTTTATTGAAAGATTTTTTTTTAACAAGATTGAATTTTAATATGATTCCTCCTATAAACCTTGGTCTCCGCAATAAAGATGCCTGCAGAATGTAGTAACTGTTTTTACAGTTATTTTTCCCCCAACACAATTATTTTTATTTATTTTGGTCAGACAGTTTTAAGACAGGTCCATATGGGCTCAAGAATCACCCGCTTCATTTTGTTGTTTTGCTTTATTTTTTGAGGCTCACTGTGTAGCCCAGGCTGGCCTGGAACTCCTGATTTTCCTGCCTCAGCCTCCCAGGTACTGGGATTAGCCTGGCTCTGGGTCTTCATTCTAGCACAGGCTTTAGTACAGGACCCTGTAAAGGAGAAAGTTCTTCATTATATCATATATGTTAAAATATATGTGCTTATATATACTGCATGTGTAATTTGTTACCTCACTCAGGATAACTTTTTTCTCCTTCCATCCATTTACCTTCAGATTTCATAATTCTTTTTAACAGCTGAGTGATAGTCAGTTTAAATGTGCCACATCTTCTTTATCTATTCTTCTGTTGATGGACATCTAGGTCGTTTTCAATTTCTGGCTTTTATGAAAAGGGGCAGCAACGAACAAGGTTGAGCAAGTGTCTCTGTAGTGAGATGAAGCATCCTTTTGGGTGTATGTCCAAGAGTGGTACAGTTGCACCTTGAATTAGACCTATTCTCAGCTTCCTGAGGAATTGCCACACTGATGTCCACAGTGGCTGCACAAGTTTGCACTCTCACCAGCAATGGATGAGTGTCCCCTTACCCCACATCCTCCCCAGCATAAGCTGTCATTTGTTTTATTGATCTTAGCCATGGCAACTGGTGTGAGATGGAATCTCAGAGTAGTTTTGATGTGCATTTCCATGATCAGTAAGGATGCTGAACATTTCTTTAATTTATCCTAGATCATTTATATTTCCTCTTTTGAGAATTCTCTGTTTATATCTGTACCCCGTTTTTAATTGGGTTGTTTGTTTTCTTGAGGTCCTGGTTTTTTAGTTCTTTATACATTTTAGATACTAGCCCACCATCAGATGTGTAGACGCTAGAAATCAACAATAGACAAGAAAGAGAGCACACAACTCGCCACTGAATGAAAATTGAGTCAAGACAAAAATGGAAGAAGGGAATTAAGATTTTTCTAGAATTCAATTAAAATAAATATGTAACATACCCATATTTATGGGGCAAATTGAAGAGGCAAGCTCATAGGACTAAGTGCCTACATTTTTAAAAAAATGGAGAAATTTCATCCTAGGTATTTATTTTTGAAAGATTTATTTATTATGTACACAGTGTTTTGCCCAGAAGAGGGCACCAGATTTCATTACAGATGGTTGTGAGCCACCATGTGGTTGCTGGGAATTGAACTCAGGATCTCTAGAAGAGCAGCCAGTACTCTTAACCTCTGAGCCATCTCTCCAGACCCATCGTGGAATTTCTAGTAAATTGACACTCAAAAGTAGACACCACATCCCCTCTTTTCTCAATGCTGGAGGAGGTGACCATCTCCAGAGTACGGCATAGCCACTTAAGGCAGAGGAGAAGGAAAGTCATTTGAACTAACTGTGAGGTTGAGGGAAGCAAGTTGGCTTATACATGAACCAGGGAGAGGACCAAGGACAGCAGCAAGTGCAAAGGAGGCCACCATGGGCAGAGGGGGTAAGGGGAGCAAAGACCCAAAGGAGGGGATATCTTGGAAAGAGGACTGAAGGCAACACCCTGATTAACTAGGAAGGGGGAGCTGGAAGAGGGCACCTGGAAGACATATGGTGATGGGCACTTTCCTAGGCTGTGCTAAGACTGGGAAAGGTGGGATCCTCCACTGCCGTGTGCCTGAGAGCCCCGTTGTGCTCCTCTCTCAGACCCTGTGGTCTGTGTCTTTCAGAGATGAAATTTACTGCCAGATCTGCAAGCAGCTCTCTGGGAACCACAAGACAAGCAGTGTGGCCCGGGGCTGGATTCTGCTCAGCCTCTGTCTGGGCTGCTTTCCTCCCTCGGAGAGGTTCATGAAGGTGAAGAGAGCTGAGCTGGGGTGGGACTGGACTTGGGAGGGGCAGTCTACAGCAGGGACAGGCTCTGAGTCCCCTGAACCCTGGGACAAGACCAGAAATCACAGCTAACAAGCTAGCAGCAATACTACACTATTCTTGGCCTCCATTTTCACATCTGGGAGGATGCTTTACTTGGCTCCTTCAAGCTCCTATCCAGGACTGCAGGGCCACTGCCTGTGGTCCCAGGCACAGAAACAGTCTTCAAGACTAAGTTGGAGATGGACTGGGTGTGTAACTCAATTGGTAGCATGCTTGTCGAGCATGCATGAAGCCCTGGATCCAATCCCCAGCACCACATAAACAGGCAAATGATGTATGTCTGTACCGACCCTGCAGAGGTAGATGCAAGAGAAGCTGACATAACTGTCCCACAAGCAGCTGAACTTACTGATGTACAGTTAGGGTCTATCCTAGTGTGACTAGAACCCAGGTCTTTTTCTGTGCTGGGCAAGTGATATCAACTGAGCTATATCTCCAGCAATGAAGAGTTTTAAGTTGACTTGGGCAGAAAATAGAAGGCACCTCCATTCTAAATGTCCTCTTCTTCCTGCCATTTTCTCACCACTAGTATCTGCTGAATTTTATTAGTCAAGGGCCAGCCAGCTATGGGCCCTTCTGTGCCGAGCGCCTACAGCGTACCTTCTCCAATGGGGTGCGCTCAGAACCCCCCACCTGGCTGGAGTTGCAGGTAGGTGTTGACAGGGATGGGAGATGGGCAGTATAGGGTAGGACACCCTTATCCTTGGCTCCTTCCACCTTCTCTATGGTGTCTTCTTTTTAAAACAAAATTATTCACTTATTTGTGTGTGTTTGTGTGTATGTATGTCGGTGCGCGCATGTGTACACACACACTGCATATAGAGGTCAATGAAGAGCTTGCTGGAGTCATCTCTCTCTTACCGTGTGGGTACCAGGAACTAAACTCAGGCCACCAGACTTGTCAAAAAGTACCTTTACTTGCTGGGCCATCTTATTGGTCCCTCTGTTGCACCTTCTGGGCCACCCCTGGTACTTAGCGCAGCATATCCTTCAGTCTGCCTTCCTGTTTTCTTCCTGTCTCCTGCCTACCTGGATGGAAGTTGCAGCTACTGTTCTCTGTGAGGAGCACAAACAAATTGCTCTTAGCTTCCAGAAGGCCATGGCCCTGCGAGTCGGCTGCTTTTGTAGCTCTATTTGTCGGGAGCTGGCACCACCTCTCCCTGCTTGGTCTCAGACCCTGCGAGTTCCCACGTCCTCAGTTACTCCAGACAACCAGGAGAGGAGCACTCTGACTCACGCAGTGCCTGTGCTGCCCCACATGGAGACTGCAGGGCTCCTCTGGCTACATTTCTTCCACGTTCTCTCAGTTCCTAAGTCCACAGGGCTTCCTCCCATTCGCCCTGAATTGTTGATGACTGTGAAGCCAGTTACACCCCCACAGCGCTGTGCTTAGGACTCAAGGGCTCAAACCGTTGACTGAGTCAACCTCAGCACCCTGGGTTTTCATCTGAGTGTGGCCAGTTATGGCCTGCAGGCTGCACCCCAGGGATACAGAGACCACTATGTATCAAAAGTCTACTACTCATCAGCTACGAGTGGGCAACACAGACCATTGGACAGGGCGCCAAGTCTCAGCCAGACCCTGGTATTCTGAGGACCTCACCCTCAGGACTTCACAGGGACAAGCAAACTTAGGGATGGGATCCTCTAGGGCCTATCAGTTCTGGGACCCAGGACTACAGGCGCCATCTGTCTGTCCCCAGGCCGTCAAGTCCAAGAAGCACATCCCGATCCAGGTCATCCTTGCAGCTGGAGGGAGCCTGACTGTCTCTGTGGATTCTGCCTCCACATCCCAAGAAGTCTGCCAGCACATCGCTCAGAAACAGGGCCTCAAGGACCAGCTGGGCTTCTCCCTCCAGGTCGCTGTGTACAACAAGGTATCAACTGGGGGTCTTAGCCTACAACCAGCCTTCCATATACACCAGAGCCAGAGAACCCTGAAGCTCAAGTCTGTACCTCATTAACCTGCCCTAGCTGCGTCCTCAGCCATCATACACACACTCATGGGCATGCACATCTATACACATGTGTGTACAGACATTCATGTGTACACACGCACATATATACACATTTCAGAAATGCCTCATACGAGATGTCCAGTCCTTCTGCCTGCATATTCATAGGCCAACAGTTGCATCTTTATCCAGACAGGGCCAGACATGAGCCTTCCCCACCTCACCCCCAAACTCAGGAACACTAACTCTTGCCCAGGAGAGTCTAACTCTACCTCCGTTGGGAGAGTTTTTGGGAGCGATGGACAGACTATGATCCTTATAAAGACACCTTCTGAGGGCTGAGGAGTCAGTTCAGTAGGTAAAGCGTGGGCAGGAAACATGAGGACCTGAGTTCAATCCCCCAGAACCACGTAAATAATCTGAACAGGGTGGCATTTGCTGCAATACTTGCCCTAGGTTCTGTGAGAGATCTTATCTCAAAAACTAAGATTGAGATCGATTAAGGAAGACTTGCCACCCACCCATGACCTCCTCAAGCATGCAGATGCACACATATATACATGTACATACAAAAAGGGGAAAAAGGAAAGAAGCTTCGGTGTCCGGGTGGACTCAGGAGTGGCTTCTTGGCTGACACAGGGCATCACAGTCTCTGTCTTCCACAGTGTTAAGGGCAGGTGTCTCCATGGGTCTTGGCCCATACTAGCTGTTAACCTCTCTTGCCCCCCGATTCTGGCCTCAGTTCTGGTCCTTGGGCAATGGCAGTGACCATGTGATGGATGCCGTGGCCCAGTGTGAACAACTGGCCCGGGAGAGGGGAGAGAGCCAGTGCCAGTCCCCCTGGCGCATCTACTTCCGGAAGGAGTTCTTCACCCCCTGGCATGACTCCCGGGAGGACCCTGTGAGCACTGAACTCATTTACTCCCAAGTCCTCCATGGAGTGTGGTCTGGCGAGTATAATTTTGAGAAGGTGAGGAGCCCTGAAAAGTAGCCCCATTCCTAGCCTGTGGCCATTGGGATGCTCCATAGCAGAGGGACCCAGAGACACGGAAGTAATAAAGAATGCGGCAGATAGGAGGCAGAGAGATGAGGAGGTAGTGACAAGGGTCGGGTGTGGGACCTAAACTGGGCACAGCCATCTCCCCGCATGCCTGGCCTGTGTCTTCTTCCAGTAGGCTGAAGGTTTGTTTGGGCATCTGGGATCCTAGGCACCCACAGCATTGGGCAGGGAAGGCGTCCCTATCTGCCTTTCACAGCAGCTGCTCCACTGGGTCCTGGGGATCAGGAATGTGGGCCTCAGACCTGAGGCTGTAACTCAGTTGGTAGATTGGTCCCTAGCCCCACATAAACTGAGCCTGGTAGTGAACACCTGTAATCCCCGCAACTGGAGGGTGAAGGCAAGAAGAGCAGGAGTTCAAGGTTATCCTGGGCTACATAGGGAGTTTGAGGCCAGCCTGAGATACATGAGATCTATACTAAGCTCTGGGGAGGGGGCCTGGAGAAGAGGGGACAAGGAGGAAGAAAATGCAGAGGAGAAGAAGGAGAAAAAGGAGGGGAGAGATGGGAAGGGAGAAGGGGAGCCTTGGGTCCACATCTGGAATGTATAAAATGCCAAGAGCTCTATCAATGGGGTGCACTGTGGTGCTGTGGCAGCAGGTGCAAACACGGTGGCAATCCAGGAGGCTGCTGGGACCCAGCAGCCACAGCCATCCCAGAGATCTGCCTGAGAGGACGGCCACTGTGCTGTCTTGGCATGGAGAACTACAACCACTCAGAGCTGCAGTGCTGGGGAGGGGTTAGGATAGGTGGCTGCTCCTGCTTCCTACCTCATCTGAGGGGCTGGCTGGTAAGACCCACGGCGCTGAGTCAGGAGCAGGCCCTTATGCCTCTCACACTCCCGCTGTTGCTGGCACACAGGAGGAGGAACTGGTGGAGCTGCTGGCCCGCCACTGCTACGTGCAGCTTGGGGCCACGGTGAAGAGTGGCGCTGTTCAGGAGCTGCTGCCCAGCTGCATTCCCGCCAAGCTGTACCGGACCAAGTCTCCAGAGAAGTGGGCTAGCATCGTCATGGCTGCCCATGCCAAGGTCAGCTGTGGCAGGCCGGGCACTCTGGCCCTGAGCCTTTCTTTGAGGCAGTTTGAGAGGGATTGGTCCCTTCCCCCAAGAGTCTCCCCACGTGTCAAGGTTTGGGAAGCTTTAACAGACACAACCCTGACTCAAGGGACAAATGTCTCCTCTAGCTCAACACCTCACTATAGGTTCCTGTCACCTGCTGCTCTCATCCCTCTCAGTCTCAGGTTTGTCTGCCCAGCAGCACCTAGCTGGCTCTGTCTTCAGGGCCAGAGATTCCACAGCTGCTGGATGCTGACAATTCTGTGACCCTGGCCTAGGCTCATCATTACTTCCCTTCTTGCTCACCCCCAAGCCTCTCAGTGTCCCCTCACTGGGCACATGGGAAATCTTAGGTCAGTGTGTAGACAGACATCATAAGTGTTTGGTATATGTGACAAATGGCCAATGCACCCTTCATATATGATGTGGCCCTGAACACGTTTAAAGTCAGTGCATGAATGTTTCAAAGTAGAAACAAGAAATGATGTTTGGTCCATCACAGACACAGCACAGTGGAGCGTGTTAGGAAAGGAAAAGACAAGCCAGATAAAGAAGGGAACTAGAAGGAAGAAAGAAGCAGACACCTCTGCAAGGTCCCAAATATGAAGAAAGCCAGAGTGAGGTACCCAGGAGCCAGGGACACACAGCAAGACAGTCCTTATAGGCATATGTTGGCAACAGTGAGCCTATGCTTGTCATCTCCTATTGCTGTGATGAAACAGCGTGTAAAAGGAGGAGGGGGTGTGGGGATGGCTCTGTGGATAAAGAGCTTGCTGTGCAAGGCTGACAACCTGAGCTCAGATCTCCCTACCCATGAAAAGCTGGAGGAAGTAGCACAAGCGTGTGCAATCCCAGTGCACACCTACAGGGAGGTGGGAGGCGAGGACAGGAGAGTCACTCTCCAGAACACTGGGAGGCAGCTAGACAGGCACATGCCACAGTGAGCAACAAGAGACCTTGTGTCCACCTGATGGAAGGCGAGGACCAACACTGGAGGTCCTTTGCCCTTCCATATGGCGGGGTGATGGAGGTGGTGTCTGGGGTTTCCCGCTCCGTATAGGCCCCGTATACCCAGGCCAAAGCCAAACCACTGGCGGTGAAAGAGCAGACAGTGGAGGTTGCCCGTTTGCTGTGGCCCCTGCTCTTCTCCCGGCTATATGAAGTCACCACACTCTCTGGTAAGAGCATCTGGTGTGGTGGTATTGGGGAGAATAGGGGACTGCCCCTGGTGGCCAGCATGGCCTTCACTCTGGGTCACCTTCTGACCAGGCCCCAGCCTTCCCAAGACACAGCTGATTTTGGCCATTAACTGGAAGGGGGTGTGCTTTCTGGACCAGAAGGAGAGGACACTGCTGGAGTTGTCCTTCGCAGAGGTCATGAGTCTGGTTGCCAACAGGTAAGCCTCAAGTCCGTTAGTTCACAACCTGAGTCCTTGGTTTAGGTGTATGTGGAACTCAAAAACAGACATGGAGAGGGGGAACTTGCTGTCCTCAGGAACCAGGATGCAGTAGCCAGACAAGGATAGCAACCACAGCACGTAGGCACACCCCCACTCCTAGGGTTCCAACTCCTAGGGATTCTTCCAAGAAATCTGGAAAGTCCTTCCCCGGCTCCTTGATCACAGTCTTGACAGGTCAACTACCCAGCACTTTCCTGGACAACCAACGTCCTCATAGCATCCCTTGCTGTATTAGTAAATTGTCTTCTTGCCATGCAAAGCTACCTAGCATAAGCAACTTAAGGAAGTAAGATTTGTTCTGACTACAGTTTGAGGGTCCAGTCCATCATGGCAGGCAAGGCGAGCAGCTGGTCCCATTGTGTCCACAGTCAGGATGCAGAGAGAGAGAGAGAGAGAGGAAGGATGCTGGTCAGCTCATTTTCTATTCAGTCTGGGATCTGAGCCTATGGAATGCTGCACCCACACTTAGGGTGGGTCTTCCCACATCAGTTAATCTAGAAACCCTAACAGATATATCCAGAGGTTTGTCACATAGGTGGTCTAGATGCTAACAATGCCACAATCAGTATTAACTATTTCACCCATTCTGTAGAGAAGTAAACTGAGGCACACCAGATGGGTAACTGTTCCAGGGTCCAGGGTAAGCCTATAGCATTCTGTGTGATGTTCCTCACTATCTACCACACATGCAGGGGAGTGGTGCACCCCACTGCCTCAGGCCCAAACATCTGCTGGCCACTTGTCTATCACCTAAGATACTGCCTGGGACTTGGACCAACCTGGATTCAGACCAAGCTCTTTCGAGGACCCTGGAGGACTCCCTTGTTTCCCCAAAAGTAGCAGTAGAATTGTGACCTTCTCAAAGGCTGCTTGGGGGCTGAATCAAGAGAGAGTAGGGCAGACTCCAGGTCACACTGCTTGCTTTGTGCCCTCAGGGAGGCCCCAGGTGGCCAGCGACTGCTCCTGTCCACACTGCATGAAGAGTATGAGTTCGTCTCCCCCAGCAGCGTGGTCATTGCAGAGTTAGTGGCCTTGTTCCTGGGAGGATTGAAGGAGAGGTCTGTGTTCGCCATGGCCCTGCAGGACAGAAAGGCCACAGGTGCCCACTGGGAAAGGGATGGGGTGGCAGCTCATGGATCTAGTAGATAAGGGTGGCTTTCTCATATCCACAAGACCCAAAGCAGGGCTTAGAGATGCAAGTATCCATATTCTGGGGTCAGCAAGGTCCATCTGAAGGAGGTAAAGGAAGACATCTTACACATATATCCCAAGGCCACCAATGCTTCCAGTCATTAGCAAGGTTAGCTCATCCCTGGAGGAACTTACACACCATCCCTACAACCATCCCATTATCCCATTCTACAGACACCAGACCAAAGGCTCAGAGAGGGGATAATTCACCCAGCACCACGCAGCTACCCTGACAGCCCTTACTCCAACAAGAGCTGGGCCGGAACCTATAGACCAGCGTCAGGCTCCAGACCTCAGCCACAGACACTGATTACATTTGCAGGCAAACTGATCAAAACCAGATAAAAAGGCTCTGTAGGAGCCTTAAACTATGTGAGGAGCGTCAGGCCAGAGAGGGTTGTCCTGAAGCCCCATTAGTCCTCACTCACGGCCACCTAGGAAATATCATCAGAGGCCTACAGATCTGCACATGGGCTCAGAGGTCAGGTCATAAAGCACTCTGGCCAGACATGTGAACCTCAGCTGTGCACTCTACCTCCTGCCTAGCCCCCACTTGGCTCCTAACCAGGCCCCAGCAGTCTATGAGGCTGAGGTTGCAGTGGGAATTCCCATGCTTTGCCCACCCAGGGCACTCAGGTGACAGACATTTCTGCACCATCCTCTCAGAGTGGCCATGGACTCATGGTTCTGTGCCTCAGTTTCTCCAGATGCCAAAGGATACCATCTATGAAATGCCAATGTGTTCTGGGGACTTGGAAGAGCCCTCAGCAAATGTGACATTCTTATCTTTCTATATGGCGGGGATCTACAGATGACGCTACCCTTCTGCCGTTCAAGAAAGGGGACTTATTGATCCTGACCGAGAGACAGGGACCATCGGCCTCGGAGAACTGGATCCCAGGGCAGAATGACAGAACAGGCAAGACAGGGCTGGTGCCCGTGGCCTGTCTCTACATCATCCCCTCGCTCACCAAGCCCTCAGCCCAGCTGCTGGTATGTCACACGCAGTCTCTGATTAGGTGGGACACTGTGAGCAGGGTCCTGGAATGCTTAGTCTGGGACCTCACTCACCATCTTCCTTTAGGGATCCAGAAGGGCCACGTGGGCTTCAGAACAGCTCTGCCCATCCCTATTAACCCCAGAGTGATGGTGAAGCTGACAAGCTTATGCAGGCACTTAGTAGGAGTTGGTGACGGTCGTTCTCTTCCCCTCGCTCACCATGGAAATGTCTTGGGAACAAACTCAACCTTCCTCATCCCAGGGTTCCACATTATCACCCACCTCAAGAGTACCCATGTGTGCCAGCCAGCCCCAAGAGCTGTCCTTTGGAAAGTCGGAGACAGGCCTGTAGCTCAAGGTTGCTGTCCACAGCAGCTCCTAAATCCTGGAGCAGAGATGTCCTAGGGTTGTGAGACCCATAGTAGTCACCCTGAGAACAGGGTAGGACAGTCTCCGTAGCTATAGATGCTAATCTAGCTAAAGAAAAGGAACAGAGCCGGCGAAGGCCTGTCGCCACCGTGTTCTGACCTCTGCCAACTCACTGAGGCAGCTAACTCAGGAGAAGCCTGAGGGAAGAACCTGGCGGGCAGTGGCCCCTGGGTAACCACGAGGCTGCCCCCGCAGAAGTTGCTGGCCATGTCACCAGAGAAGCGGAAGCTGGCTGCCCAGGAGGTGCGGGCTGCAGAACCACTACTGGAGGATCAGTCCACGGAGTCACCCTACACCCTGGAGGAGTTTTCCTACCAGTTCTTCAGGTGCCCCCTTTCCCCACCAAAAACTGCGGGTCAGCCGTGGGTACCAGGAGGGGAAGGCAGCAGCCGCTGTGAAAGGCCAGATGGGAAGAGAAAGCCTTGGCACAGACCCTCACGATAATTCTGTCTCTGGCAGGGCCCCAGACAAGGAGACCATCAGCAGGTCCACCATGCCTATGGCCCGCAACCGAGGCCACCTGTGGGCCTACTCCCCAGAGCCACTGCGCCAGCCACTGCTCAAATGTGTCCATGACAAAGCCAAACTTCGGGATCCCGCCTGTCAGATCTTCCTTGATATCCTTCCCACCAGCCTACCCTAGCTGCAGGCAAGCCTGCGGGCTTACCCACCTGGGGCCCGCGCCAGGCTCACAGCTACCTGTGAGAAAGCACCTTGCAGAGTCAATACTCAGCTTCCTGCAAGGATATCTGAGGCTCAGTAAAGGGCCTGGAGAAAATGTCCACATGGGGTGGAGCCCAGTTTAGGGTCCAGCATGAGCCTGGGTCAAGGGCCAGTGAGGGACTTGGATCAGGGTGTCAGTGTGAGCCTGGATCAGGATTTAGAGTGGACATTGGTCCAGAGGTCAATTTGGGATTTAGTTCAGAGGTCAGTGTGTGTATGGTTCACAGGGTCAGTGAGGGGCTTGGTTCAGGGAGTCAGTGAGTGGCTTGGGTCAGGGTTCAGCCAGGACCCTGGGGCAGCACTGTGCCATGGTTAAGGCTCTGGTGGAGGTCCAGCCTGAGGCTGCCTGGGTACTGTTCTCCTTCACGGTCACACCCATTCTCAAGTACACAGGAGACTACCCTTCCCGGCAGTCATGGAACAGCCTGGAGCTCACAGACCAGATGTTCTCCTTAGCCCTGCAGGAGCCGGCCCTTCAGGATGAACTCTACTGCCAGATCCTAAAGCAACTGACCCACAACTCAGTCAGGTCTGCCAAGGTGTAGCCTCCTGTCCTAGGCCCTGGAGTAGGCTTCTGCTAGGAGCAAACAGCCACACATATGTCTGGATCCACACCCAGCAGCCAAAGCAGCACAGGAAGCATGGGGCCCTGTGTGGTCTGCTAGTGTCCCAGGATGGCTGACGGAGGACGGACAGTCCTGCTTCATGCCCTACACCCTGCCCACTGCCATCCTGCTTCAATGTGACCTGGGCAGGCTGTGACCTCCCTGAACCCACTTCCGTGAAATGGACAGTAGTAGCATGTCATCAGGACATGAAAATGCCCTGTTGCACTGGACAGCTGGATTGTAGGCTGGCGAATGTAGCCTCGGTGTGTGCTGTGTCCCTCTCCCCACTTCCCATCCAAGCTCCCAAACCCACAGACCCAAGTGATCCATCTCTGCATTACAAGTGTCTGGTTGGCCTGGGCACAGTCTAGAGCCCTGCCTCTGACGGGAGCTTCCCCACAGGTACAGTGAAGAGCGAGCCTGGCAACTGCTATGGCTCTGCACAGGCCTCTTCCCGCCTGGTAAAACGCTGCTACCTCACGCTCAGAAGTTCATAGACTCCCGGAAGAAGAAACCTCTGGCTCCTGACTGCAGTCGCAGGCTCCACAGGGTTCTGAGGTAAGCCTGCTGCCTCACACCCTAGAGCACCAACCCTGGGCCTCAGGGGGATATAGAGAGACATGGCTCTGTGTGACATCGTGGGACCAGGCAGAGGAAAAGACAGAAGGCCCAGGGGGTCCCAGGGAGGCCTAGGTGGTCAGAGATGCATCTATCAAAATCAATAGCCACCTTACCCATGGCTCCCCTTTCCCACATCTGCCCACTCAGAATTTAGAAGAGTCAACCAGTGGCCCATCAGCCCAGGGTGGCTGAGGTCAGAGGCCTGTCTCTCTTAACCCTGGTACTATCTCCTTCCTCCCTACTGTCACCAAGAGGGTCTTCCTTTGGAGCCCTGTCAATCCCCATTAACCCTAGAGGAGCAGTGTGTTTGGTATATTATGCAGGTTCTTAGTAGGTGCTTGATAAAGGTTACTCTCTTCCTCTCGCCATGGATATGTCTTGGAGACAGACTCAACCTTGCTTGGCCCATGCTTCATTTCAAACATGAGCTCAGCATGTCCATGTGTTCCCTAACCCTTGGAGTCTCCTGCTTTCTCTATCTTGGCCTTGACCATGGTGACTGTGGGTTGAAAGCATGAGTGGTCACACATAACTGCAGTTGTAGAGGAAATGGCACCCTTTGAAGGGCCATGCTGGAGTCCCCACGCTTGCCTGTGAACACAGGAGCGCTCCTATCCATAGTGCCATAGCCCATGGTCTCTAGTATTTCTAGGGAGCCCATGTGAAGGTAGGTGGGACTGGGCTTGTCTTTATCCCAGGGTCGCATGCAGAGTTCACCAGGCAGAGAAAAACCCTAGGAAGGGACAGGAACCCACCTGTCCCCCTGCACTGGTCATTGAGAGTTCTTGTTTTCAGCACCAGGCTAAATGCCTCAATTGAGGTTGGCAGTTGGGATGGGTACAGGAATAAAAGGAGTGGCATGATGGCACCCTCTGTCCTCCTCAGGATGGGACCTCGAAAGCAGCCCCCACATCACGTAGAGGTGAAGGCTGCTGAGCAGAATGTCTCCAAACTACGCCATGAGGTGTACCTCCCCAATGACACAAATAAGGTAAGTGCCCAACCTGGTGTCGATAGCGAGTCTCGGACTGCAGAAGGTTGCAGGACACAACTTGCTCATGTAAATAGATCCATATTCTGGGTTCCAAATGGACTCTCTCACCCACAATGCACCTACCCCCATCTGGGTCATATCATGCCTGCTTCCATACTCCAAGCCAGCATGGGGAGCAGTGCACTGAGCTAAGAAGCCACAACTACCAGTGAGATTAGACGAGGGAACTATTCCAAAGGTATGAGTTCAGATTCCAGGTCAAGGAGGCCAGAGGACTGGCAGCAAGGCGGACTCCTGGAGCTTGCGGGCCCCTGGAGGCATCTGTGGTGAGCAATAGCCATGGGCTTTTGGTCCAGAACCTGCCCTGGAGGCTTGAGGAGGCTGAAGGGACAGGTAGGTGATAGGTGACCACTGGGCCCCGGCTGTAGTAAAGAAACATCAAAGTAGAATGTGACCAAGGCCACCCTCACACTCTGCCCTGTGCCACATGAGCCCCTGTGGCTTGGGTACAGTTAAGTCCCTGTAATGAAAGCTCCCACAGTATGGCTACAGAAGCTGCGATATGTGGATGACTCTGAGACCTGTCCTTCTCCAGACAGAACACGGCCAGCCCAAGGCTTATAGATGACAAAAGTGGGTGCAGGGTGATGGCTTGTTCAGTCATTAAAATTCTTGTCACACAAACAGGGGGACTCTAGTTCAGATCCCCAGAACTTAAGTAAAAGCTGGGCTTTATGGCTCTGGGGAGTTAGAGACTCTTGGAGTTTATTGGCCAGTCACCCTAGCCAAATAGATGAATTCCACATCCAGTGAGAGACCCTGCCTTAAAAAAAGGTGTGGAAAGCAATTAAGAAAGACACTTGAGTGACTTGAGAGTCTTTAAAGGTGTGGTGGTACACGTGGGAGACAGAGGCAGGAGAATTCTAGTGCAAGGCTAGCCTGGTCTACAGAGTGAGTTCTAGGAAAGCCGGGCTACACAGAGAAACTCTGTCTCAAAAGGTAGGAAGGAAGGAAGGAAGGAAGGAAGGAAGGAAGGAAGGAAGGAAGGACAGACACACTTGAGGTTCATCCCTGGCCTTCACAGACATGTGCACACAAATGCACATACTCACATGAACATGGATTTAGCACACACACACACACACACACACGTGCATACACACACGTAGAGGAGCACATATCCCAGAACAGAGGCTTAAGAAGTCTTCTTGCTGAAGCCGGGACCTGGGCCTCACCTGCTCTCTCTCTGTGCAGACAATGGACGTGGGCAGCAGTAGCCGGGTGCGAGACCTCTGTGAGAGCATCGCCACAAGGCTGCAGCTGGCCTCCTGGGATGGCTGCAGCCTCTTCATCAAGATCACAGACAAGGTGAGCAACTTGCTAGGCCAAGGAGCAGAGCAAAATCCTCTTGCCTGAGGAGGCCTCCCGTGACCAGCGGACCTCAGCCCGCCCGGAACACTGTGCTAGGCATGCCCTGCTCTGCTGCGCACAGCGGTCAGCTATTGGGATGAAGGGTGGTAGAACCTTGCAGTCACATCTCTGCTGGCCAACCCCAGGGAGCCCCCACCCACCCAGCCAAAACCTAGAGTTTCTGGATCCAGCGCCACCGGATCTCCCAGAAGCTATCATACCTGCCTCTGCCTCTTCCCTAAGGTCATCAGTCTGAAGGAAGGAGACTTCTTTTTTGACAGCCTGAGGCAGGTTTCTGACTGGGTGAAGAAGAACAGGCCCCAGAAAGAAGGTGAGAGGCATCTCTGTGGAGGGGCGGCTGCTTGCTGGATCACTGGTATAGTTCAGACCCCTCCATCTAGTTTCACTCACCCCCATGTCCCCTAGACATGCAAACGGTTAACTTCCTGCAGGGGGGTAGGGGTGGCAGGGTGTCCAGGGACATTTCTGGAGGCAGCTCCTACACTACTTGATGAAGACGAATCAGGAGCCAGGGAGGAGGAGGGACACAGACTTTCCAGGCCAGAAAGCAGCAGGAGTCACATGATGGCGGGGAGTGTTTCCTTCAGGATTGAGTCTTTGGCGCCTACTGGAATAGGCTTGGTGCCGACTGACGCCCCTCTTCTAGGGGCCTCCACACTTCCCTACCAGGTGTTTTTCATGCGGAAACTGTGGCTCAATGTGACCCCGGGGAAGGACGTGAATGCAGACACCATTCTCCACTACCACCAGGTACCCATCGGGCGGGGCTCTTGGAGTCACAAGAGCCATTGGCATCCTATCCCAAACCTGTCCTGAGACTGGGAGACGAGGGGGTCAGAGTGGGACTCCCTTGCTCCAGGCACTTGCAATGAAGCGAGCAGGCCAAGCCCCTGAGGGTTCTGGGGACAACAGAGCACAGCAGTACTGGGGACAAGGTCTACAGTGTGAGCCGGGGAAGAAGAGCACACAGAAGGCTGAATTCGATGCGCCCACTTGCAGCTTGGAGGGACAACATCAGGTGGACAGAGCCCATGTCCACCCCAGCACAATGCCAGGGAGTCCTCACTTAGGTCTCTCCGCTGGCCAGAAACTCTTCCCCGAGGCCTTCAGTCTTTGCCTGCTCAGTGAATGTAGAGGTTAAGATCCCCACTCCAGGCTCCTGTAATCTAAGGCCTAGCATGTCCGCCACTTAGGAGCTACCCAAGTACCTGCGAGGGTTTCACAAGTGCTCCAGGGAAGACGCCATCCACCTAGCGGGCCTCATCTATAGAGTCCAGTTTGGCAGTGACCGGTCTCAACTGGCTAGTGTCTCAAAGATCCTGAAAGAACTGGTGCCTCAGAACCTCACACGCCTGATGTCCTCAGAGGAATGGAAAAAGGTCTTTAACGGGATCTGAGTGGACGGGCAGGCTGGTTGGCTTGGGGCATGGGCTGCCTGCATCTGGCCTTCCCTGCCCTATCCTTAGTACTTCTGAGGCCCTCCCCTACACTGACTTTCAGATAGGCAGGCATGGCTCTGACCCGAGTCTCAGAGCCCCTGGGTGTCCATGCCCTGTATGGAGGGCAGGGCAGCCTGCCCAGGTCCTCACTGGCCTTCTTTTCCATCAGAACCTCCTTCTGGAATGTGACAAACACAAAAACAAGACAGTGGCAGAGGCCAAGGTGGAGTTCCTGAAGAGGATCTGCCGCTGGCCTACCTTTGGGTCCGCCTTCTTTGAGGTGAAGGTAGGTGTTAAGCCACGCCCCGTCCCTTGCCCCGCACAGGCCCCTTTCAGCTGACCCCTCAGTGTCTGTCTGACTGTAGCCCGAGCAAGCATTTAAAACATGGTCACCCGGGGGGTGAGAAGCCTCAGCTTGATCCTCAGAACTCATGTTGAAACACAACAACAACAAAGCTGGCCATGCTGTTGTCTGCTAGCAATCCTAGTGCTGGGGAGATGGAGATTCACTGGCCGGCCAACCTAGCCTGTTTGCTGAGCTCCAGGACTGTGAGAGACCTTGTCTCAAAAGACACACATACAAACATAGATATATACAATACTCACATACACATATACTTACAAGCATACAGCCAGTGAGATGGCTCAGTGGGTTAAAACCCTTGTCACCCAGGTCTGATGACCTGAGTTCAATCCCTAGGACCCTCATGGTAGAAAGAGGGCATTGATTCTAGCAACTGTCCACTGACCTCCGCTCACACACGTGCCATGTGCAGACATACACAGATAAATATGTTCACACACGTGACATATGCAGACATACATGGATAAATATGTTCACACACGCCATGTGCAGACATACACGGATAAATATGTTCACACACGTGACATATGCAGACATACATACATAAATATGTTCATCACATACGTGCATGTGCAGACATACATGGATAAATATGTTCATCACATACGTGCATGTGCAGACATACACGGATAAATATGTTCACACACGTGACATATGCAGACATACACAGATAAATATGTTCACACATGTGACATATGCAGACATACACAGATAAATATGTTCGTCACACATGTACCATGTGAGGACATAAACAAATAATATGCTCATCACATGCGTGCCATGTGCAGTCATACACAGATAAATATGTTCATCACACGTGTGCCATATGCAGACATACACAAATTAAATATATGTTAAGAAAACAAGGGTGATTGTCTCCTGAGGAACGACACCCAAGACTGACCTCTGACCTCCACATACCACACACATATGCACACATGCTGCCCCCCTATATAGACACGAACACACATACAAATAGAACCTGGTCCTCTGACCCCCTAGGCTTGACTATGATCATGGTGTCTCTCCCTCTGCAGCAAACCTCTGATCCTTCCTACCCAGACATTCTCCTCATTGCCATCAACAGACATGGGTTGCTACTCATCCATCCCAAGACTAAGGTAGGGCTTCGGGGGCTGTGTAGGCAGCACAGCTGTCTTCCAGTCTGAGGTGGGATGCCTGCTTTCCTGCCTGGCCCTCCCCAGCGGCCTAGCCTCCTGCCAATTGCCTCTCTGTCCCCAGGAACTACTGAACACCTACTCCTTCACGAAGCTCTCCAGCTGGAGCAGTGGCAGTACTTACTTCCACATGGCGCTGGGGAGCCTGGGCCAGGGCAGCCGTTTGCTGTGTGAGACCTCTCTGGTGAGCACAGGCCCCACCTCCCACCCCTGTGTAGCACCCAGAGATGCTGGTGTGTTCTGATTACTCCCTTCCACGTGGAAGTTGTTTGCCATGAGAAACTGCTTGTCCAGGAGCAGGCTAAGCCAGCCAAGGCCTGCAGGGAGGTTAGATGCATTCTGAAGGCTAGCAGGCAGCAGTGTCCAAGAACTCTACGCTAACTCTGGGCCATGCCAGCCCATTCTGGGGAGAGGGTGGGACTCAGGTCCACTAGAGCAAGCAGTAGTGAAGCCCAACGTCGGGGAGCTTGCGTTCCTCCTTTCCTCCTGTCCTACCACGTTGCCCCAGAACTCTCCCTGCACCCGCAGCCTCTGACCCCACCCTTTCCTGTCTAGGGCTACAAGATGGATGACCTGCTGACCTCGTACGTCCAGCAGCTTATGAACACAGTGAACAAACAGTGGGGCTCCAGGGTCCCAGCCCCGGCCAACCCCTGACGGGTCCCATCTGCACACAGTTTCCATGCCAGGCTTTCATCCCCTTCACCACACACCAGACCACCCCTCCTGGTGTTCACTGCAGAGGCCAATGAAGGTCTCAAGCCTTCTGGCAGGTGATGGGTAACTCCCCTGAATTCACAATAAAAATTCACCCACCAGGAAGGAGTGTGAGTCTCTGAGGGGAAGGGCAGGTGCCAGGTGGGGAGCTCTCTACCCACCTGAGGGTCTCATCCAGAAGAAGCAAAGGGCACTGTGACTTTCCCCAAAGCCGAATAACAACCATACTCTCTAGGAATGACTTCATGCCCTTTCTCCTCCTCCCTCCTCTCCCTCTGCCACCTCTCTCTTCTCTTGTTCTCTGTCTGGGAAGAGGGTGTCCCTGGGGACCCTGCTTCCTGGGTTCTCTGCACCAGGATGGCTGCTGTGCTCCTGGCTGGCCTGGTGGAAAATACATGTCAACAGCAGTAAGGAGGGTTTTGGAGACCTGTCCAATTGATAGGCTCTGAGAGATAACCCGCCATCACCATACACTTACCGATGAGCCAACATGGCCACTGCCACCTAGGCCTGAGGGGTCCTGACTGGTTTTGTTTATAAATTTTGGTGGCAGCGAACCTGGGAAACCTGAAAGTCTCTGGTCTGCCCATCTGGGGATGTTGCTGAATGTTGACCATTCTCAGCAGGAAGTAGCTCCACAGCCCCACCCTCCTCCATCCCTTCCACAAACCACACAGGTGCTTTCCACTGTGAGAATCAGCCTTCATTGTGCAAGTATGTGACCACTTGCAGGTCGGAGCTGGCTGGGGCCGTGTGTCCTGCTGGGAAGTGGGACCTCAGCCTTGGTAGGCAGCTAAGAAACTTTCTGCAGAGTCTCCTGAGCAGTGAAGGTGATGGGAATCTCAGCCTCCAGCTGGTTCATCCCGGAAGTGGCTGGGTTTGTGATGCGGTGTAAGCACAGGGGCTTACTGTGGCTGAAATACTGATGCCCCTCTAGCCCAGAAGCCTCCATCTGCATGGTGCTAGCCCTGGAGCTGGGACAGCTTCCCAACAAAGCCCAAAGACCTCTCTAAGATTGAAACTCTCCCAGGAGAGTGGAAAGGACAAGCGTCAGGCTGGGATCTGTGAGCCAAGCAAATGGCAGATGATCCTGGCCCGTTTGCCCCTATCCCCCAGAGGTTGTGGGCACAGGAGGAAATGCCTGTGAGGCTGGGCCAGGTCTCAGCGCAGAAGAGAGTACCATGTAGCCCAAGGTAGACTGGGAACAGAAAAGGTGACATACGAGGAGGAGGGGCCTGGGATGGAGCAGAAGTGGGAGGTGGCCAGCAGGAAGTGGGGCAGGGAGGAGAGGGCAAAGGGTCTGCGGGCAGGCAAAGGGAGGCCGAGGATCTTTAGACTGAGTTGACGTCCACAGACTTGGGCTGGGCCTTGCGTGAGGTCATGTCAGACAGCTTCTTCAGCCTCTTCTTCAGCTCCAGGGGGAACCTTTCATAGCACCTCTTACACACAGGCTTCATGTCGAATTCCACAAACTTGTTCCTGCAGACAGAAGCCCAGCAGTCTAGGCCCTCCCAACCCTGACTCCAGACAGTAGCCCAGAGGCAGAGGAGCAAGTCTCCCTCAGCTACTCCCTCTGCCCGCCCACCCCAGCCTGTCACAGCCGGCAGACCAGGTTCCAGGGTAAGATGTTGGCCAAAGGGCACTGGGGAAGAGGAGATCTTCCAGTCTCTCTCCCCTCTTGCAGGCTTCTCTCCAGAACCCTCTATGGATCTCTGCTGCTCTTGGAAGCTTGAGCCCCACCTCATCTCATAGTTCCAGTCACCCCCTACCCTTGTAGGCTTCATGAGAGAGCAGCCACCTGGCAGCTTGCCTTGCATATATTCTTCCCTGAGCCTGAATGCCCTCCTCCTTGATCATTCTCTGGAGTCCCTGGGCTACCTCAACTGCCTGGCCTGCTCTTGCCTCACACATGCCCTGGGCTTTCCTGTGGCTGGAGTTCCAGGAAAGTCAGGGCTGCAAAGCGCCGCCCCCCCTTCCCTTACTCACTTCAGAGTGAGCTTCATGTTGCAGGTGGAACAGGAGAAACAGTGCACACACCAGGCTTTGCTGAGGGCTGACACCACTGTGAGGCCAGATGTGGGATTAGCAGGCCCCACCCAAACCAGCTGCAGGTCCAGCCATGCAAACTAGAGCCAGATGGACCTGTAGCTGTAGGACAACCTCTCCTCCACCTACCCCGACCCCCACCATTCCCCCAACTCCCAACCCCTCTCACCTCTCACCACCTCACCAGGAAAAAAACAAGGGAGGGAGGAGTTTGGGGAACAGAGGCCTTACCATCACCCTCAATCACATGACTGCAGTTGTAGCAGACATCCCCAAAGAGCTGTGGACAAAGCAAGCCATCAGTGCTTCCCACAGGGTAACAACCCAAGTCCTTTCCGAGCACACCCAGGCCACGAGAAGTACTCCCCGGAAGGGCCACAGGTTGATACATTGTTCCCCAAAACTCCCATTGCTCCCTACTGAAACATCCTCCAGCAAGGATGAGGGCCAGGATGAGACCTCATCCCATCAGGGGCCACAATGGTATTCTATCCAAAGAAGCCACGATGTGAACATCTCTTACACACGGGCTTCAAGACTAAGCTGGGGCCCAGGGCTTGAGCACACAGGCCTGGCTTCTAGCATATACAATGGACTCTCAGGTGCCTATAGCACGCCCACCCACATAAGAGGGGACCCCACAAGCCCAGAGACCCTAGAAAGCATCTTGGTGTGCTTTTCAGCATGTGAGAACACACTGTTCCCCCGAGAGAGGGCACAGCAGAGCCTGTAGCCTTTCCAGGACCTTCTCCAACAGGTCACCCACGTCCCACTTCTGGACACAGAGACACGGGAACACAGTCCCAGCCCTGCTCTCTCAATGTCTGAGGCTCCTCACTGCCCTCCAGCCCTGTGTTCTAAGGCCTCTGACAACCCTCCAGCCCTGGGTCCCGAGGTCCCCTACCTCTCTCCGGCACTGTATTCTGAGGCCCCTGACCACCCTCCAGTCCTATGTCCTGAGGCCCCCTGACTACCCTCTAGCCCTGTGTCTTGTCAGTATCCGTTCCAGGCCATACCTGGTTATAGTGGGTCTCACAGTAGGCTAGGCCCTTCTTCTCATAGTGCCGGTGCCCCAGGAACGGCTTCTCACACTTGGCACAGACAAAGTGCTAAAGGAAAGAGGGAGAGGCTGGGCAGCATCGGGGCTGCCCCCAGGAGCCCCAGAAGACAGGGAAAGGGGATGAGGCTCACAGCGGGCAGAATGGACACCAGTATGAATGCTGTAGAGCCAGCTGACCCTTCTGTGTTTACTTTGCTCAGGGCAGGATCTCATGTAGCCCAGGACGTTTTCAAACTCACCGTGTAGTCAAGGATGGTATTGAACTTCTGAGCCTCCCAAGTGGTAGGATTATGGGCATGCTCCACCAGGCCTGCCTTGATGCAGTCCTGAGGACTGAACTCGGGTCTTTGTGTACATAAAGCAAACATCCTACCATCTCAGCTACACTGCCAGCCCTCCTCCTCGTCCTTGAATATATCACAGTGACATCCTTTGTCACTGGGATCCTGCTTAGCAAATAGATCATGAGCCCACATAGGTGGCGCTGCCCTGATATTAGTAGGTGCCTCCTGCGTCTCTCACACACACCCTGACACACACACACACACACACACACACACACACACACACACACACACGCTCAAGATAGTCTAAGAACCACCTATTATCTTTTGAGCCTGTGAGGACACACAAACCCCCAGAGACTGGGCAGCACATTCCATAGCCACCCAAGGACTAGTAGACCACCCAGGCACTGCTTATGGATGTAGAGATGGCCAGGCCACTGGAGGAGCAAGCATTCTTTCCAGGCATATCCATACAAATGTGGCAGCGCTCAGGGAAAGGGCAAGAGCTGACTCAGGAGCCCACCAGTCCCATATCTGTGTGGGGCTGTGCACCCGACAGGTCCTGTGGTCCACAGCCCCACAAGTTGCTCTGGGCAGACTGTGCCTGATGTTTGCTCCTGCCCCTAGGTAAGAGGTAAGGGGAGTGTTACTGTCTGACCACGGTCCATGGGCTCTGGTCTCCTGGCTCCCGTGGAGCTCATGGCCAGAATAAGGAGAGGTTGCTCTCAAGAACAGTTCTCATAGGGAATCAGCCCAGGCGTGGCCTGGGATGAGGTTCCAACAGACTGTTAACCATGCTGTTTCTTAATACGAATCTGTGTCCCACTTGCAGATCCCTCGCAGCCTTACCTCCACGTGCCACTGCTTGCCCAATGCATTGACCACACGGCCCTCGATCGGCCGGCGGCAGGCCCCACAGATGGGGACGCCCATCTTGTCATGGCAAGGCAAGCAGTAGAGCTCCCCCTTCAGCTCACGGGCATCGGAGGTCAGCTCCTTCCTAGAAGACAACACAGAGCAACCTCAGGGGCAGCCCTCACCTTCTGTAGGGCCACTGCAACTGCCGGTCTAGGGTACTGTGCCTGAGGCCCTTGCTCTGGCTGAGCCAGCTTGTTCTGATTTCTGGAGCCTTCCTGTGTGCACCCCGCCCAGGCCTGCAGAAAGATCCTGTGTCCTGTCCAGCTAGCTTCTTAGAGAAAGGTCTTTTTCTTCTTGTTCCCTTCTAAGGGCAAGCGCTCGGTGTGCTATTACCCAGTTCACAAGCTTCGGGCAAGGGAGCTGGAGGTTAAAATACAGACAGAGAGACAGCGACACGGGTCATCCTTGAATTCCCCAAGAATGCCTGCTTTATTGTGTTCAGGGGCAGATTATATAGAGATAGCCACGCCCCAGCCAAACCCACCAGAAACCACTCTCCTGCCATCAGGAACTCCTGAAGGTCTCGTGCTCAGAGCAGCTGTAGGCACTCAGATCAGGGGATTACAAGAAATTCAGGATCTGGGGTCTCACTTATCCCAACAGAGAAAGGTCTTTTTCTTCTTGTTCCCCTCTAAGGGTAAGCACGGAAGGGAAACTAGGGAACCGTAGGAGGTTGTCAGCTTTTCTCTCCTCTTTCTCCCCTCTTCAACACCAGTACCAACCTTACACACTCCATTCTTTCCTCTCTGTTCCAACTCAGCCAGAGTCCTGAGATCTGGAGGCTGCCCCTTATACTGCCCCCCTCAAATCACAAGGACTCCTGGACAGAGAGCTCAGAGAGAGGGGCTTTCTGCCTCACCCCAACTTTACCCTGCAGCCTGTGCCGTAGGCTACTTTGTTTACCTCTGTACTGGGTGGGAATCCCAGCAGCCCCATCCTGTGACAGCCAGGATCACCTTTGTCATACACAGGACCAGGACTGGGCACCTACCCACAGTGGGAACAGCTGAAGTGGTCCGGGTGGTAGGGATCATTCTTGAACATGAGGGGCTGTTCGTCAATGGCTAGGTGACACCGTTGGCAGATGAATTTTCCCAGGCCCTTGGCCTTCTCGCGGCTGTGGCAAGGCCGGCAGAGGTGCCTGTAGGAGGTGAGAGCAGTGTGAGGGAGAAGAACCCAAGAGGTAGCTCTTCCAGAACTGTCTGGCCAGCACCCAGAAAAAGAAGTCTAGAGCCCGGCTTGTGGCCTCAGTGGCAGCTGGGTAATTCAAAGTAAATAAGTCCAAGTTTGAGAAAGGTTTCCTACCACAAGGATTCTGAAAGGGATACCTTCCCCAACCCTGCAAAAGACTGGGGCAGGTAAGCTACCACAGCAGGTAAAGGTACTTGTCTCCAAACCTAACGACCCAAGTTTGAACCTCAACACCCAAATCCGGGAAACCGTACACATACACTAGAATGCCTGTGTTTGCTTCTTCTCCAAGGCTTTCTGAGCTTAGGCCTAGGACATCGTATAATACAGAAGGGACATTTAGCTGTTGTTTGCTGAGATGTTTTACTTTTCACATGTCTTTTAGCGCAAGCGACAGTGAATGTAAGTCTTAGAATGCCACAGTGTGTGGCGGGGTGACCGAATCCATGCAGGGCTCATTCGCCCCTTCCTTTGGAGTCTGCCGGATGAAGAGGGGCCCTAGTGCTCACAAGCGCTTTCTGTCCCCGGAGACAAGGAAAGCTGTGTCACGGGGAGGCTCCTGAACCCCAGCCTCTGTCATCACAGAGTCTTTTTTGTGAGGACTTCAGTCATTTCTGATTCTGCTCCTTGCTCTGAGCAACAGCTGTGGTCTTAACAGAGAAGGAAATCAACAAAAGTTCTGTTTCCTCGTCATTGTGGGTGCAAAGAATTTTCGATTCAGCTCCCCAGGCAAAGATGCACAGAAACTCCATCCAGTGCCCCTTGGTCCCCATTCCCCAGTTGTCACTGCAGTGACAATCCTGCTGGGACCTGGCCCTCCTTCCCAGGATCCAAAATCCACAGGGGAAATCCTCCATCTGTCACTAGCCTCCACAGCCACCTGACCATTGACCCCTTTAGTGTGTGTGTGTGTGTGTGTGTGTGTGTGTGTATGTGTGTGTGCGCGCGCGCGCGTGTGCATGGATAATGCGCCTATGCATGCAGATATGCGCATGTGTATGCAGTCAGAAGTCAATCTCAGGTCAGTGTTCAATTGTTCCCCATCTTATTTTTTCCACGCAGGGCTTCTCACAGAACCTGGAGCTCACCAATTTGGCGAAATAAGCCAGTGAGCTGTAGGGATCTGCCTGCCCCCATCTCCCCAGTACTAGGGCTATAGGCGCACGCTCCCACGCCAGGCTTTTCCATGGACCCCGGGGATCAGACCTCAAGTTCTCATGTTTGCATAACGTAATTGAGCCATCTCCCCAGCCCGCATCATTACCCCGTTTCACAGGCTTGTCGCAGAGACTGACTCAAGAGCCACCTATCCAGGTAGATCCCCTGCTACCTCTGTGCCCTTTGGAATCAAGTCACGGAGCTTTACTCTCTACTTGCCCAGAGGTCCTATCTTGAGAGCTTGGCATAACGCTAGACACACAAGCAAGGTGTCTGGTACTATTGCTAGGCTACCTACTGTACCTCCACTGGACCGTGGCCACCCATCATTGAGAAGTAGCTCGTGGTCAATGTATCGAACATGTGAGTGAAGGCGTGATTATTCAAGAGGGGAAAGAGAGAGAGGGACAGTGGACATAATCTTGTGACAACAGCCAAGCCAAAACTGGGGCCAGTGTCCAAGCACAGGTGGCCTGGCCTCCTCCTAGCCCAGAACAGGCAGCAGCTGTGGCTGCAGCCTTCACTTCTGTGATCCTGGAGCCCCTCCCACCCAGGACATTTACCCCGCAGCCGAGGACACAGGTGCTTTGCCCGGTCAGCCACTGCAGCCAGTTCCTCCTCTCTGTGTCCCTACCACAGTAATGGTCTTACTCCCCATGACTCCCGTCTACAACTGGCAGCTCCTTCTTAGAATCCATACAGCGTCCAATCAACACGGAAGAATTATGCTTTAAAGCTGTAGCAAGATATGGTGGCAGTTCAGGAAGCTAAGGCAGGAGGATAGTGAGTTTGAGCCGGCCTCGTCTACACAGTGAGACACTGTGTCAAAACCACCAAACCCACGGGCTAGAGAGATAGTTCAATTGATGAAGGACTTGTTTTTGCAAACATTGGGTCCCAAGTACAATCCCCAGAATCCATTCTTTTAAAAGCTGGACACGGGCCATTGAGACGGGTCAGCAGGCAAAGGTGCTGGTCACCAAGCCCAATAACCTGAGTTCTATCCCTAGGACCTACATAGTAGGAGGAGAGAACCAACTCTTAAAAGTTGTCCTCTGACTTCTACCACATGCCATGACACACAGATACTCACATAAATAATCATAATAAATTGGGGTTTTTTTTTTTATTTTTTGGTTTTTTCGAGACAGGGTTTCTCTGTAGCTTTGGTGCCTGTCCCGGAACTAGCTCTTATAGACCAGGCTGGCCTCGAACTCCCAGAGATCCGCCTGCTTCTGCCTCCTGAGTGCTGGGATTAAAGGCGTGCACCACCACCGCCCGGCTAATAAATTGTTTTTTCAAGCTGGGCATGGTAGTATACATTTATAACCTAAGTGTTGGGTGGGGGGTGGGGGGGACGGGTGGAAGCCTGGGGTCTCCCATCAGTCACTGTAGCCTGATTGGCAAGCTACAGGCCAGTGAGAGACCCTGTCTCAAAACAACACTCACAAAAGATGGGTGGCAGCCAGGCGATGGTGGCGCACGCCTTTAATCCCCCCACTCAGGAGGCAGAGGAAGGTGGGTCTCTGTGATCTACAAAGTGAGTTCCGGGGCCACATAGAGAAGCCCTGTCTTAAACCCTCCCTCTCAAAGCAGAATTCTCATGTCAAAATGCACCAGGTCAACAGAAAGGAACAAATGCACATAAAACGTTACTTCTGCAGTGACGTGTGCCGGAGTATAGAGGCAGGCTCTGCCACTTGCTGGAGTTTGCCACAGGGTGAATGACTTCCCCTCACTGAGCTTTGGCTTTCTCAACTGTCAGATGGAGCAAAATTCCCAGCTGCACAGCGCTGTGTGAGAAGACAAACTGACAATAGATACACTGGGCAGTAGAGTCTCTCCAGATGTTAAGCACGCATAATTGTAAATGTATTGCTTATTTGTTTCTGAGGCAGGATCTCAAGTAACTCGGGCTGGCTTCAAACTCAAGGCTTAGCCAAAGATGACCTTGAACTTCTCTTGTCTCCTGCCTTTGCTTCTCAAGCACAAGGAGCAGAGGAATGAGCCACCACACGGCTTGAGGATGGAACCCAGGTTTTTGCAGTCACACCGGACAAACCCTGTGTCGGCTGAGCTCTATCCCCAGCTATAATTTCAAACATTTCAAATAAAAATCTTAAGTCTTTTGAGACCAAGAACGCTGGCTTGAGTGTGCTGTACGGCTGCCCCTTTAGTGATATCAGCCTTGCTGAACTTTGGTGACTCACGGGCAACACCCAACCCATCCCAGCTCTGAGCCGCCCCAGAAGGAGCAAGCCATGGTCAGGGAGCCACTGTGGCCCTCCTGCTGGTCATGCTCAGCCGTGAAGTCCTCCCAGGCCAAAGGCAGGCCTGCCGGGCTGAGCTGCAGCCCCACAGCACAGACAGCTCCCTCTTTATAAGGCGCCTGCAGCTGTGCAGAGTTCCACATAAAGGCCATGATTTATTCCACACAACCGAATGGGTCCTAATTATACAGGACGGGACACAAGGACCCTACAGCAAGTGTCTGAAAGAATCCCCTCTCATCGGCCCCGAGACTCCTCAGCTCCAACCCTGGCATGCATAACAACACCCCCCACTCCCAACCCCCCCCACCCTGCCGCCAGCCGAGTAAGCTTGGGATCCTGGCCCGTTGCCATGGTAGCTGACCCCTCCCTATCCCCCCCCCACTAGTAGAAAATCATCCCCTTCTGAAATATCCTGTTGTGTCTGTCAATTCCAGCCCAAGACCCCCACCCGGCCCAGCCCTTGCCCACTCCCAGGCTCCCAGGACAGTCACATACTTGGCCTCTGTGATGCTCTGTGGCCTGGCTGGGGGGGTGGGGGTACACACAGTCTGAGGACACACTGGAATATTCAGTGTGTGCTCCGTGGAAGCAGACCCAGCTGGAAAAGCAGCCTACCCCACAAAGGACCCTTCAGGAATGAAGCAGCTTTTCAGGTTCACAGGCGCTGTGGGCTTGCTTGCTCTCCTTAAATAGCCAAGCCTCCCTCCTGCAGCTACAAGGAGTCTACCTGGAGCACCTTCCACTGCTGGCTCACGGGCTGCCTGCTTCCTGTCCTTTCCCTCCTGGGTCCTCTGTGAGAGGTAAGGGGCAGGGCTGGGAGGGGAAGGGTGGGGAGCCTCTGGGACTCAGCAGAGGTGACGGAGTAGAGACAGCATCCAGTCCCACCGGGCCCTGAGCTGTTTGACAATTTCCACTACCCTGAAATTCTTACTTTCTATTATTATTATTATTATTATTATTATTATTATTATTATTATTATCTAGACTGGTCTTGAACTCTGTATGATGGAAGATGACCCTGACCTCTTGCTCACCTTCCAAGTGTTTGGATTCCAGGCACTTGCTACCACACCCTGTTTACATGCTGGGAATCAAACCCAGGGCCTCATGCATTCCAGGCAAGCCCTCTACCACCAACCCAAATTCTTACTTTTTGAGCAAGAGGTTATGCATTTTCATTTTACACTGGGCCCCCAAAGTTAGGTATCCAGTCCTGGAAATGCCCCACAGAGGACGATGGGCAACTCCAGGGCATATTATGTGATGAGCCACACTCCCAGTTCTGACCACAGAGTCCCCTTGGCCCCCAGAGGTGAAACTGTATCCTGGAAGGCGCAGGACGCCCTCATACCCCAACTTGGGCTATGGAATACCCATGCTCCCTGCTGGTCTGAGGCCCTGGCAAAGGTGTCCTAAACCCAGGCCTCACCCAGAAAAACTGATCAAAATGGAGTTGAGCAGCTAAATGTGGAAACTCCAGAGACACTGGGGTTCTTGGGTGCCATGACAGAAAACATGCCCAGTGCAGCCCTGGTGGAGCCATGCTAACAAGTGTGGGAGGAGCCAGAAGGTGGGACAAAGAGAAGTGACTTATTGCTCCTTGTGGGCCAGGTCAGAGGTCAGGGAGGTCCTGGGACTCAGAGTAAGCAGGCCCACCAGGCAAGCCAGCACTAGGCTTTCAGTAATAGATCCTACTTACTCTCCCATGGGGAGCGAGCTTAAGGGACCCACACACAACACTATGCCTGCCTTAGGGTGGGGCTAGAAAAGAAAGTAAGGACTCTCCCTGGCCTCATAAGTCCAGACAATCAAGCTTGCTTCCCTTCCCTCTGGTACTAACTCCATCATCTAGGCCTGAGAGAGTGGACAGGCACAGAGCAGAAAGTAACTTCTAGATTCTGGATCCTCCAGCAATTACCCCAGGACCTCCTTACTTTCTGGGAAAACCATGCCTCAGCTGGATTTGGCCTGTGACTAACGTTCAAAATGCCTGAGACTCAGTCAGCTCCAAAGGACACAGAAACCCCACCCCCCAGACCCAGGAGTTTCCCTTGGCAGTTCTGCAGCTGTGTCAAGCTTAGAGTAGCTCCACTCCTCTCAAGTTAGCGACAGGAGACTCTGAAGGCATCAGAGGTCCTGCCTCTGACCTTGGGGGGCGCATCCTGGGACCCCATAACTGGTTCTGTATTCCCTCCAGCTCTGTTCCCTGTTCTGCCTTTAGCCACACCATGAATGGTCTGGAGGCAGCCCTCCCGAGTCTGCCGGACAACTCCTCCCTGGCTTACTCTGAGCAATGTGGACAGGAGACCCCCCTCGAGAACATGCTTTTCGCTTGCTTCTACCTTCTGGATTTCATCCTAGCTTTTGTGGGCAATTCTCTGGCCCTGTGGCTCTTCATATGGGACCAGAAGTCAGGGACCCCGGCCAACGTGTTCCTGATGCACCTGGCGGTGGCCGACTTATCCTGTGTACTGGTCCTGCCCACTAGGCTGGTTTATCACTTCTCTGGGAATCACTGGCCATTTGGGGAAATCCCGTGCCGACTCACTGGCTTCCTCTTCTACCTCAATATGTATGCCAGCATCTACTTCCTCACCTGCATCAGCGCTGATCGCTTCCTGGCCATCGTGCACCCTGTCAAGTCCCTCAAGCTTCGGCGACCTCTCTATGCCCACCTGGCCTGTGCCTTCCTGTGGGTGGTGGTTGCTGTGGCTATGGCCCCATTGCTGGTCAGCCCACAGACTGTGCAGACCAACCACACAGTTGTCTGCCTGCAACTGTACCGGGAGAAGGCCTCCCACCACGCCCTGGCATCCCTGGCTGTGGCTTTCACCTTCCCCTTCATCACCACAGTCACCTGCTACCTGCTGATCATTCGCAGCCTGCGCCAGGGTCCCCGCATAGAGAAGCATCTCAAGAACAAAGCCGTCCGCATGATTGCTATGGTTCTGGCCATCTTCCTCATCTGTTTTGTGCCCTACCACGTCCACCGTTCCGTCTATGTGCTTCACTACCGCGGCGGGGGGACTTCATGCACCGCTCAGCGTGCCCTGGCCCTAGGCAACCGGATCACCTCCTGTCTCACAAGCCTCAACGGGGCCCTGGACCCTGTCATGTACTTCTTCGTGGCCGAGAAGTTCCGCCATGCCTTGTGCAACTTGCTTTGCAGCAAACGGCTCACGGGCCCCCCTCCCAGCTTTGAAGGAAAGACCAACGAGAGCTCCCTAAGTGCCCGATCCGAGCTGTGAGCCCTGAGCTGTAAGCCTCCAGGACGTCTTGTCCCTAGGCCAGCTGTCAGAGAACCAGCTCTCCACTGGGGCACATGCTGCCAGGGCCAGCTAAAGACCTCTGTCTTCCCTCTCCACTTCCTGAGCAAACCAACTGAAATGTCAGCAGTTCGTGCCCTGCTCCAAGGTCTTCACTGTAAGGCCATCCAGTCTGAGCAAAGGCATCAAGAGGGAGGGCCAACTAGCTAGGTACAGGATGCCCTGCGCACCCTTCCACAGGGACTCGGTTGGCCTGCCTTATTTACAGCTCCCAGACACCCAGTGACTTCACTGGTGCTAAATAGAGAAGAGCCACAGATACATTTCTGGAACAATGGGAATCTTTCTTCCCCGCTAAACTGTCAGCTTCTTTCATATACAGATGCCCACAGCAACAAAGCCCTACAGAATAACCCAGAAAGCAAGCTGCCCGGGACCCAGAAAGAGCGGCAGCACAAATCTCAATGGAACACGAGGAGTGTCGGATACTTCCTTTGAAGTGCATGGTATATCGTGTATCCCTTGCCAGCCTTGGGAGATGACCTCTTTCTGAGTTCAGGGGACACAGACTCTATGTGAGTCACACATGAGTACATTTCAGACTGGTGGCGTGTGAGCCCAGCAAACACAGCTCTGGACCCCCCTGCTATAACCATGTTCCCACGCCTGCTTCTAGCCTGACAATGTCTAGAGTTTCTCATTAGAAGGTGGCCTGGTCATGCATATGGCATAGATGGACAGCCATTAGAGCCCACTAGAGGCAGGAGCGCGGTGTGTGAACCTGTCTCCATCTCACTCAAGCCCAGAAGGGGCATCCCCACTCCCTCCCAAGAGGCTTCTACCAGCCTCGGCTGCCTGGCTTTGAACTGTTGAACTTGTCAGCATGTGTTGGACACTCTAATGTATCCTTTTTTTTTTGTACTTGTTTGTATTACTCTTAAACATAATCGAGCCTTAAGGTGAAGGAGATTATTGTGCTAGTTCAACATGACACATATGTCCTCCCCTGGGATTCTCTCCCCTTCCAGCCAAGAATGACCAAGCAAGGCAATGCTTCCCTTTATTGTGGTTCTGGTGGCCCAGGCAGACCTGAAGCTATGCATCATGGGGCTCCACATGCCGTTCTAGGTTAGAAGGACTCTCGGTCTTAACCCTACAACCACCATCAATAGAAAACCCTATATTCTTCTTTTACATTTTGTCTTCCAAAGCATGGGGTGGTGGCCCGTGCACGGCTCATCTCAGAAAGAGCACAGCCCAGACTGTTGCCCCTGATGCCCAGCATTGCTTCTCACCAGTACAGGTCTGTTCACCATTGTGGTCCCTTACCAAGACAGCCTGCTGAATACAATACCATACCAGTCTTTCAGATGCCAGGACCAGCGAGAGGTCATGTGCCTCTCCAGCGGCATAGCAAAGGGACAAGATCACTGTAGGTTGAGACAAAAGTGACAGAAGGGCTTTGACAGAGACCCAAGTACCCAGACAGGAAGAGCATTCTTGTGGGAAGCTGGAGGGTCTCTGGAATGCCTTTTCTGGCACAGGGCACGCAGAAACAGACTTGGGTCAGAGGAAGAGGATCTTGCAGCTCTATTTGGGTCCTGTTGTGTTAGAATCTCAAATGGAGATGCCACACAGACAGGGGCATTGAGCAAAGGAGAGACCTGGAGGAGGCCCCTGGATTGTCTAGATGTGCCATTGAGAGACCCAAAACTTCAAGGGCAGGTATGGACGTGGGCCCAAAGAACACCCCTGTGCAGAGAGAGGCTGGAGGAAGCTAGCACAGAACAGAGGTCTCACTGGGAAAGGAGATGGTTTAGGAATGAGGGCCTTGCTGTGAGGCCACTGAAGGCCAAGGAGAGGACCTGATGCCCCCCGGTCTTGACCTGAGATAAAGAGAAGGTCAACAGCTATGCTCAGGACTTCAGGGCACAGAGGTGTTGCTGGAAGCTTCCCCTAAAGCTTTCCCACGCAGGTGGGAGATGAGGTCATGGCTAAAGGAGAGGTATAGAACCCACAGTGAGGGAGGCAAGGGTGGGAAGAAAGAACAAGGCTTCTTGGAAGGAGAACAGCCAGAGTACCAATAAGGCTTACGTTTCTGAATTTGGGTAACTTGGGCAACTTGGTTAAGGGCTATCTGTCCAACATCCTCCAGCCATGTGCGTACAGGAGGGAAGGCAGACAACTGGGGTCAGCACGGTGAGGTAGCAGCAGGTGGGGTGTCAGGGGTAATAGGGATTTGTCAACTGAAAACTCATCATCCATCCATATCCACTCAAGACCCTTCACCCCAAAGGAACACCCCTTACCCAGAGGCAGCCCTGTCTATCCTCCCTCTGCCACCCCCATCCTGATCCGTGCCCTCGGGATTGTGTTCTCCGTCTAGTAGGGGTGGGACAAGGTCCACAGCCAGATCAGTACAGGGTGCTGCAGTGCCTGGAAGGTGCCTGGTATTTGGCCGGACCATGTCTCCTAGAGTGGGGACAAGAGACCCTCCTCTCTGCCCACAACTGCAGCATCCTCACCTGCCTGCGTTCTTCACAAAGCCCAAGTCAGCCAGCTCCACGTCACACAGCTCACAGCGGAAGCAGCCTGGATGCCAGTTGGTGTTCATGGCCTTGATCACGCGTCCAATGACAAACTCACCTGGAAGAGGAGAGATCTCAGTTGTCAGTCAGGGCACACTCACCCTTTGGCACCTCCCAAGTCCTATGTGCCTGGGGCTCCTCCCAGTTCAGCCTTGTCCAAACACCCCTCTTGTAAGGACCTGAAGAGCAATGCTCAGAAAAAGACAGAGGGAGGTGATAGGTAAAAGTCCCCAGGCTAAGTAGTGTGCCAGTCTTGCCTGTTCCCTACTTGTCCCCTCCCCACTTCCTAGGTGCTGCCACCAGCTCTTACCACAGAATCCGCAGCATGGAGCAAACAGCATTTGGAAGTCATGTTCGCAGTACTTCCGGCCCTCAAACTGCAAACGGGACCACAGACAAAAGACAAGCAAGTCATTCCTCATCCCCACAATCCCTTGTTCCTAATAAATACCAGTGGCCTGGGGTCTGAAGAAGAGAGCCTTCTAGAGCTAGCTGGAGCAGGGGACTAGCCATGCAGTTTAGCAGAGTGCAAATTGAGGGTTTCACAGAGATGCTGAGGGTCCACGGTCAGCTCTTGGGGATTCTGCTATCTGCCGAGGACCCGAGGATCCTGACAATAGGCCAAGCTGAGATGGGAGCTGGGGCTGGGGAAGAACGGGTCAAATCTGAGTTCCATGTGCCACTTTGCCCTGCATGTCTGACCAGATCAGTGTCCCCAGAAACTACAGAAGACCCATGGAAGGAAGAGGGGAGAAAGAGAGCACAGGAAGGGCCTGGGGAGCTGGCCTGACAAAGCAAAGGCCCCGAGTGCTGCGGTCAGCCACTGTCATGTATTGTCCCAAGCATGACCAAAGCTTGTCTCTGCTTTCCGCTCTCTTAACAATTTGCTTTCTTTAAAAAAAAAAAAATGGGGGCTGTAGCTCAGTTTGTAGGAAGCCCTTGTTTTGGGTCACAGAGCTGCATAAATGGGGAGTAGCAGTGCCCTTGGGAGATGGAGGCAGGAGGCAGCAGAAGTTCAAAGTCACCCTCTGTAAGTTTCTTCTAAAGCAACAAAGCAGCTCTCCCCAGTGAGCCAGAGAGGCTACAGAGGCTTGGATTTCCTCAGCGGCAATATCTCCCAAACACCCACTATGTGCTTTGCTTGGCTCTGGTCTAAAACCCCTCACAGAGATCTCTCCAGCCCTCTGCTGCCTCTACAGCCAGCCAGCGTCTCTCAGGAGCCTGGAGAGCAACAGGAGATTTTCATCTGGCATGCGGGCCACATACCCACATCATCAACCAATGATGCCTAGCCTCCCGCCCCCGGAAGAAACACGGCGCTCTCTGAGCTCTGGTCCTGCCCCCTCCACTGCAGCCAAGTGGAGCAGTGCAGTCAGTGTTTAACCAACTCTGGCAGAAGGCAACAGAGGCCCTGACTCTGGGTCTGCCAGATGCTGTGGCGTAGATCTTACTGCCAGGCTAGTACCATGCCGACATCACAAATAGCACCACATAGGCAGAAATAATTTCAGACGCATACATGACTTGAAAGTCTAATGAAATAATGAGTAGGACATTTTATGTGTTTGTTATCTTCATTTTTAATAAAGTACTATACCCCTCTACATTGATACGATTTATTATATGTGTGTGTTTATGTGAATGTAGGTACTCCTTATCCCCCAGAACAGGGTCTCTCGCTAGCCTGTGGCTCACCAAATAGACCAGACAGACTGACTGGCCCATGAGCCTCAGGAATCAACCTGTCTCTCTCTTTCCCCAGTTCCTGGACACAGCACAGGCTGGTATGCCCTGCTGGTTTTTTACATTGGTTCTGGGATTAACCTCAAGAGCTCATGATTACGAGGCGAGCACTCTGATGAAGGAGGCATTTCCTCGGCCCGGGCGTGAGTTAGTTTTTAAGAACAGCTGTGTTTAGAAAGGACTTAACTACTTGCTCTTGTGAGCTGCTGTGGGCAATTCAGGGCCCTTGACTTTTCTCTGAACTATTTCAAGACTCAATGACCCCACTCCTGGTCCCACCTGGTATCCCAGCTTCTTTCCCAACTGCCCCACAGCCTCTGTGTGGCACGACGCCCAGAGCCTTTCTCTCTCTTCCACTTTGCTTCCGAGATGGTCTCCTTGCGTGGCCTCCCACGATCTGATCGTGTTACAGGCACATGTCACATGCCTTGAGTAGAGGGGTCTTCTTTACATGTGGGACAAGGATGTGACTCCTCTTTTCCAAACCCAAGGAACTCCAATCTCTTACAGAACAGAAGACCCCAAAGGAGAGCCACTAAGACAGGAAGATGGAGAGTCTCTGTCTAGCTCCTGCCACTCTCCCGCTCATCCCCTGCTTCTACCTGTACCAGCCTCTCCCCAAATATCCCACATGCTTCTGCTTCAGTACCTCTTCATGTGCTGCTCCTTCTGCAAGATCTCTTTCTGCAGAGGAGTGTGTGTGTGTACATGAGTGTGTATGCATGTGTGCATGTGTGTGTGCGTGTACATGAGTGTGTGTATGCATGTGTGCATGTAAGTGTGCGTGTACATGAGTGTGTATGCATGTGTGTATGTGTGTGTGCGTGTACATGAGTGTATATGCATGTGTGCATGTGTGTGTGCGTGTACATGAGTGTGTGTATGCATGTGTGCATGTCTGTGTGTGTGCGTGTGTGGATGTATGTGTGTATGTTTATCTTTTCTCTTCTGGCCTCATCAAACATCACCTGCTTACCCAACTCCAACCATGAGAATTCTTGTTTCTAAAGCATCCTCCCCAGATAATGGAATCACTCAGCCATTGCATTCACTGTCTGACCCAATGGACAGCGAGTCGCATGGTGGGGTTCTTCCTTCCCCAGGGTTGCCCACAGCCTGTCCAAGGGCAGCGGAAGAAGAGTGACTGCAGAAGTTCCCAGCTGAGGGACGGGCCAACACAGTGTGTGAAACTCAGCGTTGCTGCCTCAGAGCCTGGCCAGGTCACTCTTCTAGAACAGGCTACTGTCCAGAACCTCCTCACCTCATAGAAGAGCCCCTCGGGGAAAGGCCGGAAGCACTGTGCGCACACAAAGCAGTGCTCGTGGTAGAGCTCCCCATTGCTGTTGACGATGCGCTCGGTGGGGGCAAACCGGGCCTGGCAGCGCTGGCACATGGCGTCAGCCAAGCATTCAGACATGTTGCTAGAGGGAACAGAAGAAGAAGGAGGTCAGCACTGGCCAGCAGACTTGCAAGACTGGCCCCAGGGACACACATGCCCCTGCTTAAAAGGTTCAGGTGGATCCAACCTTTAAGGAAAACAAACACGGCACGAAGTTGTAAATTTCCTTAAAACATGAAATGTTGTTTGTGCAGGGACACACGCATGGGGATGGGGGGGCAGTCTCAGCTGTTGTTCCTCTGGTACCAGCCACATTCTGTGTGTGTTTGGGGGGGGGCAGCATCTCTCACTGACCTGGATGGAACTCACTAAGCAGTCTCAGCTGGCTGATGGGCAGGCACCAAGGACGTACCTGCCTCATTCTGAGCCCCTCCCCACAGTGCTGGGGTGTAAGTACATGTCCTCCCTCATGACTGCTCCACCGTAACCTCTCCACCACCATGCCTGACCCATCTAAAGCCATGTGCTGCTTAGTTTTGTCACTCTGACACAAACTAGAAATGTCTGGGAAGAGAGAGCCTCAGCTGAGGAGCTGCCCCACCCAACTGGCCTTGGGCATATGTAGGAGACATTTTCTTCACTAGTGGGTCCCGTGGGAGGACCCAGCTCATGGTGGGTGGATCTGGGTTTTTAGAAAGCAGCTGAGCCAAATGTGGGAAGCCAGACAGTGAGCCGCTGTCCTCCATGGTCTCTGCCTCGGCTCCTGCTAAGTTCCTGCCTGACTTCCCTCAAGACAGACCGTGGTGCAGTGTGTAACCAAACACACACTGCCTCTCTCTCTCTCTCTCTCTCTCTCTCTCTCACACACACACACACACACACACACACACATCTCTGGGACTCACTGGCCTGCCAATCTACCTTCCTGGGTGAGATCCAGGGAAGAGTGAGACTCTCATTTAAAAAGAAAAAAAAAAGAAAGAAAATTAATGTGGAGCTCTGGGGAGATGGCTCAGTGGGTAAAGCCACTTGACACACAAGCATGAGGACCTGAGTTTGAACCCCCAGAACCCATGTAAAAGATAAGGACAGTATCTCAGGCATGTGTAGCCCCCTCCCAGTTCCTATGGGGAGGTGGGAGACAGGGACCGGAGAATCCCCAGAAGCTCACAGGCAAGCTAGGCTGACGTGCCCAGAGTGGAAGGTGAGGACCAATACCCAAGGCAGGGGGCAGCACATCTACACAGTCCAGAGCTAAGCAGATCTCAAACTCCATCCAGAGAACTGTTGTTTTCCCATAACTCGGGATACATCTCAGAATTCCCCAGCCATGACCAGTCCAGGGAAGGCCTGTGGCCTCCAGCACTCCCTGCCAGAGGGCAGAGGGTCAGAGATGGACAGACATTCCATACCCTCCTTCACATAGTCAGCCCTAGAGCCAAGAGCAGCCTGTCCGGCTATCCTCTGAAGAGATAACCGCCCCCCCCCCCCCCGCCCTCAGAGCACAGCACTGAGCGTGTGCACCGCCCTGCTCCCTTTCCTCAGCCGTCACCCCCAGCTCTCCAGACACCCATAGACTTGACAGATGACACAAGACATCCCTAGGCCTGACAATAACAGGGCAGTCTGGGACGAGACGGGGAAGTCTTTCTGCTCCAAACACTAAAGGAGGCCTGCTGAAGATCACCTGGGAATAACTCACGCCTCTTCCTGTCCCCTCATCTCCCAGGGCGTCTCACAGGCCTGGCCAACCTAGACACCTTCTTCCTCTACTCTAGCCTTTGCTTATGAGTGAGGGGACCCGGGAAGAAAGATGATAGACTTCTTTTAAAAGTTCTTCTTGATGCTGGTATAGTGGCATATCCCTTTAACCCCAGCCCTTGAGGGGTACAGAGGCAGGTGGACCTCTGAGTCTGAGGTCAAACTGACCTATACAACGAGTTCCAGGCCAGCCAGGGTTATGTAGTGAGACTCTTTCTAAAGGAAATATAGGGGGTTTTGGGTTTTTTTTCTCTTTGTTCCATTTATTTATTTATGGTGTGTGTGTGTGTGTGTGTGTGTGTGTGCACGCACGCCCGCATGTGTACCTTGTTACCATGTATGGGGGTCAGAGGACAACTGGCAGGAGTTGGTTCTCTCATTCCACCATGTGGGATCCAGGGATTGAACTCAGGCTTCGTGACATGTCTTAGCCTGATCTTGAACCTGGTCTTCCTGTCTCTGACTCCTCATGTTGGGAATCAACCCAGGACTTCTTGTATGCTAGGAAAGCGCTCTACCAACTACATCCCTGGCCCATGCACCCAAGTCCTGTGAACTTTAGTACCCTCATCTGTAAAACAAGTCCAGCGCCGGCTGCTATAAAAGGCAATGCCTGCAGGAGAGTCTGTTATACACAAGCTACTTCCTGCCCATCACTGGGTCTTTGCGGAATGTCTGCACTATTTCAAGCTCTAGCCAGTTCTGGGGTAAAGAGGGGCTTCCTGGGCAGCAAGCACAGTCTCTAAAGTTCCAATGGGAGTTTCCTTTAGCCAGCAGCTTCCACCCCTGGGACGATTTGGCCTGTCTCCCTAGCCACATGAGCATCGGAGGTCACCAGGTTGCACACAGTTAACAGGGCACACAGTTAACAGGGCCTGACACAAAGACAGCCTTATTTCTCATTGTGAGAATATTGGGAAATTAACACACTGCTTTGGACAGCCTTACACAGCTGCATTTTCACTGTCAGAAATATATTCCAGAAGCTGAGGATGTGGTTCAGTTGACAGAGAGCTTGCCTCGCGTGCAAGGGAGCTGTGGGCTGGATCTTTAGCCCTGCGTAATACTGGGTACGGTGGCTCAGTCCTGTGATCCTAGCACTCAGGAAGTGGAGGCAGGAGGATCAAGGTCAGCACCAGCTGCACAGCAAGCTGGAGACCCAACTGAGCTACATAAAACCTTGCCTGCAAAGGAAGAAGAAATGCAGGAAGGAGAAGAGAGCAGAGAAGTAGGACAGAGCAAGGGAACATATTCCTATCCGAATCTCCAAATCCATCCGAAACCTGCCTTCTAGAAACCTTAGTTATATGCCTCTGGGCCAGCAGCTCCATCTCTTTTTACCAAGAACACTTCAAATAGGTCCCATGAAATGGCATGAGGTAGGAACCAGAAGTCAGGAGCTCCATTAACATGTGTATGCACATTCCTGGGGTCTTGCCGGAACCTCAGCTTCTGTATAGGGCCCACATCCCTCATTGGGCCTTGGTAGTGTTGTTTGTTATATCCACCCTGAGGTCACTTTCAGTCCCTCACCACCTGTACCCTGTCATCACAGTTCACAGCAGACACAAAGTTGACCAGGGAGGGCCCCATTCCAACTGACTGCATGCAGGTGAACCACAGGTCCTTACCTGAGCAATGGGATCACCTAGGCCCATGCTTGTCTGTGCTGGGCCCCCAAAGAAGAACCCGCATATGACAGGTGATTTGCAGATAGCCACAGACGACAGATAGCAGCTGAGTCAGCATGGCCTC